CGGTTTTGAGTTTTTAGTATATAAGGTATGAAACTGTTCTCTCATCTGATACATTCAGCAGTTGTTTTCAGAAAAAACATTTACCCTCAAAACTACAAGTTAATTAATTAAATGTTTTGAAATAATAATGAAATTGCAATTGAAATATATTCCATGTCTATCAAATTTCAATAACAATTTTTGGACAATTCTACATAATTTACGAGTATTATAAAGATTTGAGAATGTCTACTTTTGGTTTTTAGGAGACATTGCGCAAAGATATACATCTTGTAATATAATATTCTGTTAATTAAATTAATCAAAATAAATTTAGTATCAAAACCATAATAAATACTGAAAAATAAAGATTATTTTAATATTAAAAGAAATTTGATATCAGAATCCCACCATCAAACTACCTGGCTTATAAGTTATCTTATCCCACCAGGTTTTATCCATGAAATAAAACTTGTACATGTATGTGGCTTAATCATAATTCATTTTTTATTTGGAATTCACTCACAAAATTTTATTTTAAATGCAACCCACAGATATAGCTAAACACAAATATGAAAGATATCTTTCCTGTGATATTATATATATATATATATATATATATATATATATATAAGTCAGCTAGTAATAGGCAATAGTCTTAGGCTAAGATTCAGAATAACAACTTCATGCCAAGTATGACGCCTGAGTGTCAAAAACATATTTGATATATGGGAGTGATAGTTAATACTAAGTCTCAGCTCTGTATAATTAACTTGCTCATTGGCAGTGGCAATATTTCACCAATAAAAGTATTTTACAAATAACAATCAATATAAATAAAACGCCTTTAATTTTTTAATAAATATCTTTACCCTGGAACACACAACGGAACTATTGATTGTCTAAGTGCGGAATCTGAGTTCGCAAACCATACCCTGGTGCACTTTGGTCTCATATAAAAAAATAGTAAAGTATAATTCTTCATAATATAATTAGGATTATATGCAGTATTTTCACAAGTTGGACAATTACAGTAAGGAAAATGGATACATTAAATTTGCACATTCATTTCTAACTTTACATTTAATATTTGTTATTCTATATTTAACCAATAACTTATTCAATATAAGTTTTATAATACATATATATAAATAAATATATATTTAATTGGTACAATTAACTTATGAGAGTTCAGGGATCTTTAAGCTAAAAAGAAATGAACATCAAGTCTAGCATAGCTACCAACACAAATTATCTAAATTATGTCGGTAAATAAATTCTAGGCTATATGGTATTAGTTTTTTTCACTGTTTACTCCATAACAGAGTAAAACTAACCTATGATCGATGCTGTCTGGGTTAAAAAAATGTTGTTGAATTTGTAAATTTTAGTAAAAAAAAACGCCAAGGCCATACTACTATTTAATATAGACATGCATACGATCAGCAGTTGGGTGTTCATGGATAGATTGACATTTATAAAATTTACTTACCGCCGTGAAGGTGCAGGATATTTTGGAGCAATTTTCACTAAATAAGCCAAATTAATAAAATTAATAAATAAATAAGAGAGTGGAAGTTAAATTGGTTTAATTAGAAAAAATAAAATAAACGTAGAAAACACACACAATTCGAAACGTCAGCCACAGACTAGACACTAGACAGTAGACAGTAACCAGTTACAGATTCATAATCGGATTCAATAAAATGTTCCGACATAACCTCGAGGAGTTTGTAGCTTTGAAATTACGTTTTTTCAGAGTTTTTTCCCAGAGTCTTCTTATGCGTAAATCATTAGGGAAACTGTGATTTCCATTATTATTACAACCGATTGCTGCACAGCGAGGCATTTTTGGAGAAAAATAATGTTTTATCTTGTGTTATAATAATAAAGTATGGGATTTGACGTTTGTTTGCATTTGTTATGGGTCAAGCGTTACCAGCGCTACTAGTAGCAAAGTTTGGCAGTTTTCTCCTCCATTAGATTCAATGATTGTTTTTTAACTACAGATAACTCTCTAGTTCCTGGAAGACGTTTGCGGATTTTTTACAATATTAAGTAGTAATAAGTAATTAAATATAAAATGTATTTTTTTATTACGTTTGACGGCCAAGATAAATCTTTTTCTTTTCGACGGTATTAATAAGTTATTTGACAGATCTGATAAATGTATTAGGGTGAAGAGAGAATACATTGAAAAGGAAAAATAGTTTAATGTTTCATTTAATTACCCTTCCCTGTCATTCCGCGAACTTTTTGACCGGCCCTTTTGTACTTTGGGTACAAAATATAGGGGCGGTTATAGACTAGCGTATTTTTCCGCGCATATACGGTCGTTTCACCATACGCGCTTACACGCGCGCTACAATACGCGCTCCAAAAAACCGGACGCGCGTAAACTGGCATATTTCAGCGTCGCGTGGCGTCGTGTCAGTATCAACATGGATTCTGACGAAGAAACATTTCTATTTGCGTTATTATTCGCCTTCGACTGAGAAGACGAAAAAGATGCTGGGTGTCAGCGACGGTTGCATGAAAACAGAGAACATTTAATACACACGACATTAGAAGCGCGTCAACGCTCGTACGAGTTGCGCGTGTGCCAAAAGGCGCGACTATATGTGCCTACATGCGCTTCCAAAGACGAGCTTATACGCGCGTAAAAACACTAGTATTCACCGCCCTTATTCGTGATAGCGTAGGAATTATTTAGTTAGGCAAGTGAACAACAGCTGGCGCCACAGCCCATAACGTTATTTAAATATTAAGTATATCTATCGTTTATTTTTTTACACTGACATGATGATTACTATCTTCAAGCCCCCATATAAGGGCGTGATGCAGTGGAGGGGGAGGAAAAACTTAGGCAGGGCAGTTACACGTCTGGCTCTGTTATAGTACGGGAGGTAGCAACGTTTGAAAAGAAAGAATTTTAGGTCAGCTGATTTTGTGATATGTCTTCCTTCTTGCACTTTCGGTTAGAGTCTGGGCAATCTGGCTGGCGGTAGCGGTTGCGTTCATTAGTGCGCATCCTATCTGTCCAGGTAATAATCCTGGATTTTAAAAGCATTTTAAGAAGCGTAATTTTTGATTTTTCCTTTTTAAATAAGTCTACCTGACATACTTTTTTTATTGCCAGACATTTTTCACATTGCTAACTATGTGCCAGACGCGATTTTAAGTTTTTTTATATAAAAATTTCAAAGTATTTTAGAATGTCTGTAATTTTAATATTATGTTATTTAAATATAAGAAAAACTAAAAATGAATTTGCCAGATATTAATTCGATTGTTAAGTCTTGAATTAAAATCAAAAAGTATTGCAGTATGATGAAGCATTGCATTTTAAGAAGCGTAATTTTAGATTTTTCCTTTTTAAAGAAGTCTACCTGACATATTATAAAAAAATATATTTATATTTTTTATACATTATAAAAAAAAAACTTAAAATCGCGTCTGGCACATAGCAATGTGAAAAATGTCTGGCAATAAAAAAAAGTATGTCAGGTAGACTTATTTAAAAGGAAAAATCAAAAATTACGCTTCTTAAAATGTAATGCTTCATCATACTGCAATACTTTTTCATTTTAATTCAAGACTTAACAATCGAATTAATGTCTGGCAAATTCATTTTTAGTTTTTCTTATATTTAAATAACATAATATTAAAATTACAGACATTCTAAAACACTTTGAAATTTTTATAAAAAAAAAACTTAAAATCGCGTCTGGCACATAGTTAGCAATGTGAAAAATGTCTGGCAATAAAAAAAGTATGTCAGGTAGACTTCTTTAAAAAGGAAAAATCTAAAATTACGCTTCTTAAAATGCAATGCTTCATCATACTGCAATACTTTTTCATTTTAATTCAAGACTTAACAATCGAATTAATGTCTGGCAAATTCATTTTTAGTTTTTCTTATATTTAAATAACATAATATTAAAATTATAGACATTCTAAAATACTTTGAAATTTTTATAAAAAAAAAAAACTTAAAATCGCGTCTGGCACATAGTTAGCAATGTGAAAAATGTCTGGCAATAAAAAAAGTATGTCAGGTAGACTTATTTAAAAAGGAAAAATCAAAAATTACGCTTCTTAAAATGCTTTTAAAATCCAGGATTATTACCTGGACAGATAGGATGCGCACTAATGAACGCAACCGCTACCGCCAGCCAGATTGCCCAGACTCTAACCGAAAGTGCAAGAAGGAAGACATATCACAAAATCAGCTGACCTGAAATTCTTTCTCGAAAACGTTGCTACCTCCCGTACTATTATCTATACAAGCAACAAGGGGATCATTAAATACTTGTGCTTCGACACATGTTTATTTCACCGATTGTACGATGTACCATAGAGTATGTTTGGACCATGAGAGCAAGGTCAATCTGCCCAATCAGAAACAAAAATCTATTGGTATTTGGTGTACAGGGTACAAATGCACGACCTCTGGGTTGAGAGAGACACGCTTAACCACTAACACTGATTAGTTTGTTACTTTTATATTGAGAACACTCCACAGCAACTAGACTACAGCTAGTTTGAGTAAATTGGTTTTAATAGCATTATAAAAAAGTACTCTGCGGTACAGCAAATTGAAAATGTTTAGTTGCCCACATATGTTCCTAGTTTCCTCACAATTGGCCACAATACCTTTTGCTTTGGTACATAATATATCTATATTAATAAGCTGATGAGTTTGTTTGATTGAACAGGCTTGTCTCAGGACTTACTGGTTTGAACTAAAAATTTTGGAAGTGTTTTAATAAACATTCAACATTCTTAATAAAATTTTATATAGAATAACTCTAGAACATAATTATAATCAAGCACATAAAGATTCAACCATCTAGACTATTTTCTTAAGTTTTGGGAACTCAAGCTTATATATTGCAGGCACTTATGCAATTTTTTTTGCTTTTATAATAAATTAAAAAATAAATATATCACAAAAAATATTTTAATACACCAAAACTGAATAAAACAAAAATGTATGTGTAGATAAGTCTATTTTAAATTTAATTTGTAAGTGTTGTTAATGCAGCAACAACATCACCTCTGTGTTCCCTTAGTGTTCTCTCTGCTAAAAACTTTGAGATTTCCATTTCATTTACCTGTAAATGCAAATTTTGTCTTATATTATAAAAGATCTGGGAGTATATTTTAATGCTGATCTTGGTTTTGTGCATCGCATAGATAAGATATGCAAAAAGGCTTACATAAACCTGGAGTTCATACTAGGGATAGCTTGTGGCTTCACAAATCAAGACATTTTACAAGGTTTTAGTTAGAAGTCACTTGGAGTGCAACGCGATGGTGTGGGCTCCATATAAAGCTAAATACAGTCTCATCTTAGAGCATGATATGGAATTCTATTATTTTTTTTACGGCTTAAAAATAAATTTGACATTTTGGCATATTTATTCAACTAATATAGAAATTATTAATCCATTAAATTTATGTCTCCTAGCTCCTTAATCCAGCAAGTTAACTTTAACTTATATTAATATATGTGTTACATACAATTAGTGCAATATCTTCTTTTTTAACTGAAACTTTTTGAAGCTCTTTTTCTTTTTCCAATCTTTCTGCTGCTTCTTTATTTCTTCTATCACCAATCAATGAAAGGGCCTGGAATGTTACACAAAAAATATGTTGAGATCCTAGATATTTTAAGCATACAAAAACACAACTATTGCATTGTTCATCACAGACTTACAGAATATCAGAAGACATCAATATGAATAATGTATGTATATAATTTAGCTTAAAATTGGTTTTGAAGTAGATATAGTATACATTACAACTATAAGAGAATTTAAGGTAATCCAAAAAGTACTTTGAATTATTTTTCTTTAAAACATAATGAATACATAATAATTTGATGTTAATATTATTTGTGGCGCCTTTAATTTAATTTAAAATAACCTTGCTTTAGTTTAAATAACCAATTTAATTTATATACGTACACCCGATATATCTTGAGATGATATTTCTTTTTCTTCTGCATAGTCTGTAACTTTTTCTAGATCTGCTACTCCGCTATCGTGTTTTGCAGTTTTCTTTTGGTTTTTATCTTTGTCATGCTGGATATCATCGGTATCTCCATTTATTTCTTCATCTGCCATTTGTATGAATAGTTACCGCCTTTTTATTATAATACAAGGTTATAGGTTTATCTGTAAGTGTTAAATAAAAAGTTTTAATTTAAATTTTCATTAAATAATAGTTAAATGTTAATAATTACAATACATTACAATTTTTAAGAAACTTGCCAATTGCACAGTACAGTGTACACTGCAGTTGCAGAGTCACAGATTTAGTTGGTGCAGAGTACAGAGTACAGACTACTATCCCCTTGACAGAATACAAATGTCAATTTATAAAATTATAGATTATATACTGACGACGAGATTTGATAAAATGATGATAAATAATGTTCCCACCTTCTAGATAGCTCAGTTATTAGATTTACGTAACGAACAATCTACACAAAAATGTCGTCAAACGTAATATATAAACTATAAATATCTATATATCACTATAGTGTCTCCACCGATAATACATATTTTGACTTTAGGTGCGACTACAAAATTAAAACTTTTAATTCTTCATGAAGGATGTTGTCTTTGTATAAACGAGTTTGATGACAGCCACAATACCGACGGTATCGTTAATTCTGCCTTTAATCAAATCTCTTTGAAATCGGACTAGTGATATGTAGCGACACCTACAATCTTTGGCTACAAACGTTATAGAAGGTCGAGTATCCTACTTTTAGGCCGGAGCCCGGGGAAGCGTACAACTTGCTATCCCCACAGGGCACAGATGTATGGTCAGGTAGGACCTATATCGGCTACGAGGGCTGTTTTATAAATGGTGATAATGCTATAGGTACATTCGATTATTACTATTTATTGAAAAAATGAAGAAAAATGAAGAAAAAAAGATGGGAAAAGGAAAAATAATTTAGTATTTTTTGGCATACATGAAAACCAACAAGAAGAACCTAACCTGCTTACACACATACTGAAGTTGATAAATAATTCAACTGGTTTATCCTTGGACCCTAAGGAGCTAAGCTCAGCTTATAGACTGGGCAAAAAGAGTGAAAATCCTCGCCCAGTCCTCGTTAACTTCACTAGCCTTTGGAGAAAATACGAGGTACTGAAAAATGGAAACAAACTCCCATCTAACATGTATGTAAAAGAAGATTTTTCCAAAGAAGTATTAGAAAAAAGAAAACTATTACAAACCGAACTAAAAGCTGAACGTGCTAAAGGGAAAACTTGCCACATTAAAAAAAGATAAGCTCGTTATATACGAGAATACGCGTGAGAAATCTGAAAAAAGAAAGAGAAACTACTCAGAATCTCCGAAACAATATCAACCCCAATCAACAAGTAAAAAAATAAACTTACTTGATTACTACGAAGCGCATGGCTCGAATTCAACGCCGAAACAGCAAAAAAACTAGTATGCGCCACTGACCGCTCGAACCAACATAATTCTTTCAAACACAACAACAAAAGACAAAACGCACTAACCACCCCAAGCCGGCTGGTCACCGTGGGGGCTGTCGACCACTCCCTTCCAGCTCAGAAACGAGATGAGAAGATTCACAAAAACATTACAAGTTCCATCACTCCAAGCCGAATCGAAAATAAGATACTTTATATCGCCACTCTGAACTGTCTGTCATTGAGAACACACGAAAAACTTACCGAGCTAGAGTTAGCTCTTTTAAAGATAAACTGGGACATATTAAGATTAAGCGAAATAAGAAGAATAGGCGAAAGCATTGAAGATCATAAAGAGTATATCTTCTATTATAAAGGCGAAATAAAAGGATCCCATGGAGTAGGCTTTATGGTTAAAAATACTTACAGCCAAATATAGAAGAATTTAAGGGCATATCAGATAGAATAGCCATTCTTAATATAAATTTTCCAGGTTTCAAGGACAAATGGTCAATTATACAAATTTATGCACCTACTGAAAATCATGAAGAACATATCAAAGATAAGTTTTACAACCAATTGACTACAGTCTTACAAAATACTTTCAAAAACATCATAGTTATGGGCGATTTCAATGGAAGAATAGGACGCAGACGTCCTGGTGAAGAGAACATCATAGGCGACTTCGGCTTCGGCCCAAGGAGCAAAAATGGAGAACGAATGCTCAATCTCGCTCTCGAAAATAATTTAGCATTCATGAACAGTTTCTTCAAAAAAGTTACGGCGAAGAAGTGGACATGGATATCTCCGGACGGACGCCACAAAAATGAAATCGACTACATCGGAACCAACAATAGGAAACCCTTCCAGAACGTTAGTGTATTAAATCAACTCAACTTCAACACCAATCATCGATTAGTAAGAGCCACCATAAAATGTATCGAACCAAAGAAAAGTAGAAATAAATACAACACAAAAACAAAGCTAATGATAGTAAAACAAATCCCTGACAATGAAGTCAAAAACCAGATAGAAGGAAAATATATCAATGAAGTAAATGAAATACTTGGAACTCTAAGTCGCAATCCCCCAAAAACTAACAAGAAACAAATTGGAAAAGAAACTCAAAAGCTAATGGAAGAAAGAAAACAGCTCTTAAAACTGGGAAAAAACAAGCAAAATCTAAAATTGATATCAGAAGTAAGTAAGAAAATTAGTAACAATATTAAGAAAGAAAGAACCAAAAGAAGAATAGAAGCACTTAATTACCACATAACCAAGACAGGAGGAGTTAAAAAAGCTCTAAAAGAACTCGTAGAAACAAAACAATGGATACCGAACATTAAGAACTATGTAGGCAAACAACAGACAAAAAGAAAAGATATATTGAAAACTGCAACAGACTTCTATAGAAACCTCTACTCACTAGAGACTGATAATACCCCACAGAATTCAGTAAATCTTGAACAAGACGAAGAAGAGGTACCTAAATTTCTCCTTTCAGAAACGGAGCATGCTATCAAAAGCCTAAAAAATGGAAAAGCGCCTGGACCAGATCACATAACTAATGAGATGATCAAAGTATCATCAGCAGCACCAGGGAACCTAAGAAAACTTACTGAACTATTCAACACCATACTAAAAACGGAATACATACCTTCTCAATGGACGAAGAACATAATTACACTGCTCCACAAAAAGGGTGTTCCTGTCACATAGAAAACTATAGACCTATAAGCCTTATGTCCAACATGTATAAAGTTTTCTCCAAAATGATCCTGCGAAGAATAACGAAGGTAATGGATGAACAACAACCCATGGAACAAGCTGGATTCAGATCCGGATTCTCAACTGTAGATCATATACATGTTATAAAACAGCTAATACAAAAGTGCAAAGAATACGGAAAAGCACTATACATCGCTTTTGTAGACTACAGTAAAGCATTCGACTCTATAAAGCACGATTCCCTCTGGAGAGCCTTAATACAACAAGGTATACCAAAAAAATACATACGTATAATTAGAAATATATATACAAGTAGCACGGCTTATATCAAACTAGAAACAACGGGTGAAGAATTTCCTATAGCCAGGGGTGTGAGACAGGGCGATCCTTTGTCCCCAAAACTCTTCTCAGCCATTTTGGAGAGTTTATTTAGAAATTTGGAATGGGATAAGGTCGGCATAAACATAAACGGCAGACAACTGAACCACCTAAGATTCGCAGACGATTTAGTGATCATTTCAGATAACGCAAAGACGCTTCAAACTATGCTGCAACAGCTGACAGAAGCAAGCAAGATAGTTGGGCTTTCTATGAACAAATCTAAAACGAAAATAATGACAAATAGAGAAACTATTATGATACAAATAGGAGGAGATGCTATCGAATATGTAGACCACTACGTATATTTAGGGCAAATAATATCATTTCATGACCAAATGGATCTTGAGATAGAAAGAAGAGTGTCTAGCGCCTGGAAGAGATTTTGGTCACTCAAGGAAGTACTTAAAAGTAAAGACTTCCCAATAGTAGCTAAGAAAAATAAGAGCTAATAACAGAAAAGAATGGAAACAGCTGGAAGAGGCCTACGTGTCACAGGACACGCTGATTACCAAAAACGGGTCATATGATGCATTAGATTAAGTTTTATTTTATTTATGTGTTAGAATTAAGTGTTTTTTTATGTAACTTAAATAATTGTATGGGTGTCAGCAATAAAGGCTAATTAAATTAAATTAATTGAAAAAATGAGTAAGTACTGGCCTTAAATATAATGATAATAAAAAATGGGTTGTCTGTAAAGTCGGTTTACTGACGATAGTTGAACGTGACAACATCATAAGAAAATACTGATAGAATGGTTGCAATTTTCAAAAGAAAATTTTAATTTTAGTTGTTTGATAGATATTTTGTATGGATATAGAGAAGGAGGTGAATGGAAATCACACTTAAATTGATCGATTACAATATAATCGATATAATACGATAGATACTTTATTTTATATACAATAAAGATGTCGAACGCTGCCGAACGCGGAGGCCGATTATGCCTCTTTGTCGCTCCTTCCGCGCTCTCGCTTGCACTTCAAGCCTTAAATGGAACGCCTCAGAGCGAGGTAACGCCGCATGCGTCATGTTTTTTCGTGCGTGCAGCCGGCTCCATAGAATTATAAGACGTTGTTACGTCAAAAAACCAATCAATTCTATTTTGTTATTTTTATAGAAGTCATTAATTTTTTGAGTCGTGTCGGAACGCGTTTTTAAAATAAGGAACACGTTAAGGTACCTAACGTAATTTTTTTAATAAAAAATACATCTACTTGAAAAATATTACTTGGTAAATTAAAACTTCAGATAAGGAATTCATTCAATTCATTAGGAATTCATGCTCTTCCAAATTCTATGGTTGCGCGGTGGTGTGCTGAGTTCATGCGAGGACAAACGACTACCCCCGCACGGGACGCTCTACATCGATAGTGACTAAACAAATGATTTAAATTGTCTTGGCCGAAGATCGTATTACTGTTTTTTTATAGCAGAAGAAATGAAGATTTCTATAGGAAGTGTCCATAATATTTAAAAGTGCCAGCGCTGCCCTTCTGCCTCTGCCCAGAATGCTTTCTGACGCGCAGAAACAAACGAGACTCGAGAGGTTTGTTACAAGATCTTGACAGTCAATTAGCTCGATTCAAAACTATGGACGCAGCATGGCTATAAAACCAAATCCAAATAAATTCAAATACGCAAGATACGGCGTGGCAATCTCGCTAAAGATCTTTTGTTTCACCAAGACATCGTCACGCACATGTCCAGAGTGGCAATGGCTACCATTTTAGAAGATGACTTCGAATTCATAGAATATCCTCCATATTTACCGGACCTAGCTCCGTGTGATTTCTACCTACTACGGGGAGGGAAAATAAAAATTATTTTTATAAATTTATTTATAAAATATTTACACTTAATAATGGTATCTTATAAGATCGATTTTTGAAAAAAACAACAATATCACAATATTTATCACATATGAACTATTCCATTTGGACTCTCTTCTTTTATCTCGGGTGGCGTGTAAGCAGGCGGTGGTAGACTGTTGTCGTGAATCTGCAAAGTATTGTTCGTTAAATTTAAATGGGGTTTTTAATGTTTACTTCACCCGTTTTCATGTAAACGAAAACCATAACCAGTTAAATGAGTTGGTTGAAGAGAAAGATTCTTTGAGATTCGTTGATAACTTTCCAAAACATAAGCATTCATACAGAAAAATGTTTACAATATGTAGTTTGGCTTAATTTTAAAGTAAACATATTTTTCTAAATAACAACCAATTAAATTGGCTCCAATTGTCAAAATGATTATCAGTTATAGCAATCGCGTCTTATCATAGCATGGTTTCACATTTGAGTTATAAAACGTTAATAATCAATATATTATACTTTAGCTTATTTAATACTATCGTTATATACAAATATTTATTAATTAAAATACTCACAAAACCAGAATTAAGATAATGAGGTGCCGGGCAAATTGACGACTCTGAAGGCGCTGTTCTGGTGTATCTGAAATACGAAAGTATAAAATTAATATTAACATCCCAATTTAATTATTATAATTGAAATAACGTACATGACTACATGAGCCTGTCACTAATAATTGTCGGAAACAAAACATTGCTTGATAAAAATAATCAGGAGCTCTTTAACTTGCCTTACGTCCAGTATTGGTTAGATAATAAACTAATAAATATAGCCCTCATTTACTATGATTGGATTTTAATAGATTAGAACGCCATCTCTTGGTAGTAATCAGAACTGATATTTAAATTTTTCTACTGTTCTTTTGATGTTTGTCTATTTTTGTAACACTATATTTAAAATGACGTGCGCTAGTGCGCATGTATAAATAATTATACGCGTAATTATGGCAATGCAATAAGGATGTAAGATTTGGTATGTTTCTAGTTTAATCACTAGAATTTTAAGAAGCTTACCTTGGGGGTGCATCACGTAATCGTTCATCGACGTAAATTTGTAAGCTTCCGACGGATAGCCTTCCTCCATCCGTTGACCCATTTACACTTCTTCCAACAGGTCTGAAATAGGTCATTGATTTTTGTTTTCAAAGGCATAGTATTCTTTTAATCCTCAAAAGTTTAAATGATATTCATCTACAATACATACATAATAATAATTGTTTGTTATTTTTTAAGCATTGAATAAGCTCCAAAACTATTGGTTCGATTTAAAAAAATCTTTCACCACTACATCGCACATTATCACAGATGAACATCGGTTTTAAACTATATATTATAAAACGAATGCCCGAAGTTCATATCGTACGAAGCTTTATATTTTTCAAAGACAATAGGAATGATCATTCATGCCTCCACTACTAATAAACCAATACCAATATTTTGTAATAGTGTGGCTACAATGACAACATTAAAGTACTATTTTAAGATTGGGGTCAATGCTGAATGATGGAGGCACTGGCATTTCCATTATTTGCGAATTAAATCCATTTTACAAAATTGCTGATATTAGGTGGTTGACTCTCATCTTGAGCAGTTGCGTATCCGACAGTGGCTGAGCGATCAGTAAAGTTTAAAAAAATCTATCTATTAATACAATGTTTTGAAACTGGCTTAAAGAAATAACGTAGCTTATTTCGCCAAGTAGAATGTATGTACATCATAGCTAGCGACTCCCGACGTAAAAGGCTAAGTTATGGTCATAATTATCAAGAATGCATGAAATATGAATCTAACCTGATTGTAGTAGCAGCACAAAGTTTATAAAGGAGCACGAAGGTGGCAATTATTCCCAACACCAGCGCACTAGCCATCACAATCTGAGTACCAGATACAAGTACTATATGATCCACTGGTTCTCTGAAAAACATATAACTCAGGAAAACATATCTTTTAAGCTCCTACTTGTAAAATTAAGTATTATGGTGTATCTCATATTCATTTTATGATCTCATTATCATAAACATTTAAATCCGTTAAGAAGTGTAAGCAGTGTTGGCCTAGTGGCATTAGCGTGCGACTCTAATGCCTGAGGTCGTAGGTTCTTCCCCTGCCGTACACCAATCGGTTCTCTGTCTATGTGAGTACCTAACTCTCGCTCGTATGGAGTATCCTGAGCGTGAGGCAATAGGCATGTCTAGAAAATCGATGATATGTGTCAGATAGAGGGCAGATCACCTACTTGCCTCTGAAATAAAAAAGATCAAAGAAACTCTGAGGCCCGTTAGGGTTGTAGTGCCACTGGATTATTATTATCTGGTAAGAAGTATGTGAAGTAATGGAAGAAAAAAGGTTGATTAGATCTTTTGCTTACAAGCTATAACATGCTATAATTGCAACATGCTCGTTGAAATTCAAAAATTTTCAGTAATTGCGTTTTACTTTTACAACGCTTTACAATATTTGGTTAATTCGAATACTAGATACAAATGGCCTAGGAAGATAATGCGAGCCTTGAACATAATGTATAAAAAGATAAGGTATAATAGTAAGCTTAATTTAACTAGACTTATGCGCAATAAAAATTAACGGAAGTACACGAACATAATTTAGGAAGTAAAACACTAAAAATATCAAACAACCTATCTTTGTATATTTTGACATTGCTATATACATATAACATTTGAACAAGAAATTGGCCTTCCTACTTTTCCTTTTGAAGGTTTAGAAGAGTAAGCATGAACAGTTATGAACAAGATACCTGCAAACCCAATTTCCGTTTGACCCGTAACATGATTGGCAGACTCCATTCCAACAATGCAGAGTAATATTATCACCGCAGCACGGTCCATAGCAGGCCTCTCCTAATCCTGAAACACAAACATTTTAAACACACGTAGCCCTTGGACCCAATTGCAGATTATTAGGGCCCTTCAATCTACTCTTGTTATTTTTTTTATAGAACACGGGGCACACGGGCGGCTCACTTAATGTAAAGTTATACCGCCTCCCACGGACAATCTCAATGCCTCGCGAGTACTTTGCCGGCACTTTAGGAATTGGTACGCTCTTTTATTGAAGGACCCTAAGTCGCATTGGTTTAGAAATACTTCAGCTGATTCCACATAGTGGTGGTGCGCGGCAAAAACTACCTTAAATAACGCTGAGACGTGGAACGATAGACGTCGAGATGATACGGTTATAAATGTCGTATTCTGCATCGAAGTCCGAAGAGGCAGAGAGACCCTACATCTCTAAGCAACTACAAGGGATCAAGCCACTCGGAAAGAGTTTGGTCGTCGACGGTACGCTCAAGTGTAAGGAGCTGGTACTGGGAAGCTCCCGCCCAGATGTGACGACAGTACTCCGTTGGGAATTTGCGCTTTATACACTTGCAAGGGATGGCCTAGGGTGAAGTAGGTAACGTCTTGCCTTGCTAAGCACATCAATTACAGAAAATTTAGCTTTTCCCTCCAAATGACTGCGAAACGTTCGTTCGATATATAAACGCCCAGTATTCCGATGCTGGCTGTGGTGGGTTGACAAAGGATGTTTTTTTAGCGTAACCCTCTGCCCGCTACATCGTCTCATACCATCAGCATGCTAAAGAGAAGAGCATTACCTGTACGTACTAAACCCACTAGAATGATTTAATAGCGTGTCAATACATTATGTAAAGGATTTAGTGGCCGAAGCATCTGAGTATCATTCGTGTGTTGTCTCTATATAGATATTGTTCTCTTCCGTGAATATGTAAATACTGTGACGGAGTCATAACAATTGATGCATAATTAGGAGTTATTGATAATATAATGCATTAAAGTTTAATGAGCGATTAGCGAATAGGTAAAGGAAGCATAGATTGTTTTAAATCATTAAATAGTATAGGCGCTTTTTTACAAACAAGCCAAATAATGTTTTACACAATATGATTTTATTTTATTCTCATTTTAGGATCGTATATGTGTGTTATCAAAACGTATTTTAATAAAACTTATCTATCGGATATAAACGCTATTTCCATAGGTATCACGATGTTTCGTGCTTGCACTGCTGTCGTTCGCTGGCAAAATCTGATTAAAATCACTTGTAAAGTCCAGTTATTTGAATAACGTAATTCGAAAAACACTGAAATCGTATTTCTATGAACAAGATTTCTTTTAGCGTACTTGTGTAAAGCTAAAATTAATTTAATAATATATATTTACCTGGACATTTTACACATTGTGTCTGGTAATAGTTCGGGGCATATCCATTTGCACAATAACATTGTCCTTTTATACATTTATAAGCCGACCCTTCACAAAATGTTGGGCATTCACCTGAAATTTAAAAAAATATATAAATGTGATGTATCCCACATTTTTGAGTAATAATGATATACTGATAGGATACTACGACAATCCTATTAGCCTGATAACAGCGCAATTTGCTAAGTTCGTAATATCGGTGTTGGAGTTATGTTTATAGAAAAGTTGTCGGACTTTGACTTTTATTTGATATTTATTTAAACATGCAGCGAATCAGTTCGTAGAGAAAAAAGACGATAAATTCAAATGTTGAGATTCGACACTGAAAAAGAACTCGCTGGAGTTCAAGCGTATGCAACCTCTGAACAAAGTTTAACTGCATTCTATAACTTTCATCCGAATCGTTTAGTAGTTGTTCAGCTATTGTGTCATACATCTTTGGGCTTGAAATATATAGCTTTAGGGTAAAAATCTCAAGTTTAACCATTTGGCTAACACTACCCTAAGTCAAAACGATTATTTAAAATTATCATTATCTTTGTTCTGAAATTATTTTTGTTCCCAAAACTCAATATTTTCAATACATTATGTATAAAATATTTTTTTTTATGAAAAACTTAACAAAGGCAATTGACCTACAAATATTTTACGTAATATAAATTGATGAGGAATATAAATTGATGAGGAATATAAATTAAGGGCCCATAATTATTTAGAAGCACAGCATACAAAGCTACAGGTGTGTCAAAGATCGATGGCACGGTGTATGATAGGGAAGAAATGATAATAAGAAAAATAACAAAGGTAACAGATTTTACAATAAAAATAAATAAACCAAAGTGAAAATGGGCGGGGCACATGGCAAGAGGAACAGAAAAGTACTAAACTGGTGCCCAAGGTACAGCAAACGAAAAAGAGGAAGACAGCTTAATAGGTGGATAGACCAAATTAAAGAAACAGCAGGTGGTACATGGCAGAGAGTAGCACAGTGCAGAGAGGATGATGAGATATTGAGATTTCCTTTGCCAAAAAGGGGCACACAGATACATAAAAGAGGACTGAAAGAGAAACGTGTTCATATGTAAAAGTATCTAAATTAAAAGACTGTCATGTAGAAATCTCCAAGAACAGGAAATTAAAAAAAACGGTCCTGTATAGAAGACTAACGACTAATTGCTTTCTAAAGAACAACTTATAACATATGTTTATTAAGCAAATTATAAAGCGATATAAAGAAATGAAAAATAATCTTACTCCACATTGTCATACAAAAGTCTCACTTTTCAAACAAAGAAACTATTTTCACTAGTAAATTCATGCGCGTGAGTTTAGAACTTTTGTATTTTTTAAAAGCTACAAACATAAGGAATAATATTGAGAAATATTTGTGTATGAGGTCCGCTAATTAAATATTTACCTATCATTAGTTAAAGCATGTTTATGCTTGGAACCTCGGCTTGGTTCTGTTTATAGATCAGGGCAATTATTTATCGCTATTTATGTACTATTAATAAATTATAAATAAACAACGAATGTTCCACGTTTTCATATCACAAAATTAACATCTACACAATTTATAGGTATATACAAAATCGACAGTTAAAATATAAAAGCGAATATATGTACAATACCTTGACTTTTTATAGTTTCACCTGGTAGTGCACTGGTTATAGTGATAGTGATGCATGTATAAAATAACAACACTAACATTATGTTACATACTCTGGGTATAAATAATGAAATTTTATAAAGAACACAGAACGTTACATGTACACAGTTTTAATGCGCTAAAATATACTGATAGTGTTATCAAAGATGGGCTGAGTCGCGATAGTTTATCGTTTTCGCGTCACATAATGTAAGCAAATATCATTTAAGTTGTACGGAAAGGCTGTATTATAACCTTGACGGTAGAAAGAATTGTCGACAAATGTTATTAGCAAACATTCATATAAAATAAATGTAGATTTTTCCGACGACACAAGGAATTTCGAATACGTGATTTGACCTCAAAAACTAGTGATCTAAAAATGAAATTCTCATTTATATATTTTTCACAGAACGGAACGGAGATATTTCGGATATTTTCTATCCGTATCGCTTCAAAAGTGGAAAATCTTAAACGCGTTTTGAAAGTATTTTCGTTTTATTTATTTATATTAAGATTAATCAATCATGTTTAGATTGTATGATATGGTAATCTAAATCACTAGGCACTTGTCCTATGGATGATAAAGAGATGAGGTGAAGTCATACCAATACTCTATAATCAGACTTATAAAAAAAGCAAATATTCGACAGCAGGCAGTACAGAATTTATTCATTAATATCACATCACGACACGTTTACATGGCGTTTATTTTTATGAATTAGGAGGCAAACGGGCAGGAGGCTCACCTGATGTTAAGTGATACCGCCGCCCATGGACACTCACAATGCCAGAAGGCTCGCAAGTTCCGGTTCGTTGCCGGCTTTTCAAGAATTGGTACGCTCTTTTCTTGAAGACCCTAAGTCGAATTGGTTCGGAAATACTTCAGTGGGCAGCTGGTTCCACATAGTGGTGGTGCGCGGCAAAAACTGCCTTAGAAAACGCTCAGTTGTGGAACGACGGGCGTCGAGATGATACGGATGGTATTTTGTATTTTGCCTTGACGTCCGATAATGAAACTCAGCTGCAGGTATTAGACCGAACAACTCCTCTGAACACTCTCCATGGTAAATGCGGTAGAAGAAGCAGAGAGACCCCACATCTCTACGTAACGCCAAGGGATCAAGCCGCACGGAAAGTGACTGGTCGTCGACGGTTCGAACCGCTCTTCGTTGAATACGGTCAAGTGGAAGGAGCTGGTACTGGGGATGTCCCACCCACAGGTGAGAACAGTATTCCATGTGGGGCCGAATTTGCGCTTTATAGAGTTGCATGCGGTGGCCCGAAGTGAAGTACCGTCTCGCCTTGCTGAGCACACCAAGCTTTTTGGAAGCTAATTTAGCCTTTCCTTCCAGATGACCGCGAAACTGAACGTTATTTGATATGTCAACGCCCAGTATTCCGATGCTAGCTGAGGCTTTAAGGAGAGTGTCTTCAAAGAGGGGAGTAGCGACAAAGGGAGTTTTTTAGCGGAAAACGCGCATACTTGTGTCTTCTTGGGGTTAAATTGGACTAGATATTTTAGTCTACCGCAGTCCGAGACTCCACGTAGAAGAGTTTCGATTTCAGGCACAAGTTTGTTCCGGTACTCATCGACAACAGCCCGAGAAATTCCTGCCCGGCCAGTGTAAAAAGTATCCCTAGTGCTGTCGTCCGCAAAGCAATGAATGTTGTTAAGCTGCAACATATCATTGACATGCAGAATAAACAGGGTCGGGGATAGGACACAGCCTTGTGGGACACCAGCATTCACGGGTTTCAGCATGCTCGGTCGATGACGACCTTGATGCTCCGATTAGCGAGAAAGCTGGAAATCCAGTTGCATAATTTCTCGGGGAGCCCATAGGCTGGAAGCTTCGAGAGCAGTAATCTGTGCCACACCCGATCGAAGGCTTTCGCTATGTCCAAACTTACCGCCAGCGCCTCCCCCTTGGACTCAATTGTCTCTGCCCACCTATTTGTAAGGTATACAAGGAGGTCACCAGCTGAGCGACCACGACGAAAGCCGTACTGAGAATAGCTAATAAGCTAATGGCCCTCTAGATAGCTGGTCGTCGTAGTCGTACTGTCGCCACTGACCTCAAATATCTCCTCTTTGGTTAGGAATTCCAAATTCAATTTTGTACAGCTATGCACGTGACTTTGTTTTTCGAAAACCATGATTAATTACATTTTCCCGTTTTATTTTTTTCTTTTCGTCATTCTATTTATAAAATGGAAAACATGAAATATCGCGTTTTTACGAGTTCCACCGTGGCACCTGTGCTGTAGAAACAGCTCGAAGGGTTAATTACATGTATAGTGGCGGTGTCGCAAAAGAAAACACAGTGTGTTATTGGTTCCAACGTTTTCGTTCTGGAAATTTCGACCTGCAGAACAAGCCCCGTGGACGGCTGGAGACGAAAGTACATAACGAAGAATTGAAGGCTATTGTGGAAGCGGATCCATCGCAAACTACGTCTGAGTAAGCTGCAGGCTGCGGTGTTAGTGACAAAACATTAATTCAATTAAAACAAATTGGGAAGGTGAAAAAGCTTGAAAGGTAGAATCAACAAACGCGCGTTAACTGCTACGTTACGTTACTCAACCTGCACAATAATGAAGGGATTTTAAATCAAATCATTACCTAAGATAAAAAGATCCTGTACGATATTCGGAATCGCTCATCGCAATCGCTGGGCCCAGCCGAATCAGCCAAATCGTGCCCCAAGCGAAAATCGACTTCTTAGCCAGTCTTTCTCTTCGTTCGGAAGCTAATATCTGAGAGCCGTGATCTGGATCAGCAAGAAAACATCTGAAACGCACTATGTTTCCACCGGTTTCTGCACACCAACTCTCTTGTTTCATCTCCTGTCTACAGTGTACGGTTTTTAGCCAATACATAGCCAGTAAATCAAAACAAAAGTATTGTTAGTTAACTATATGGTAGTATAACAATATATAATATATAATACGTAATAAATAAATATTTGTATAAATGAATTTAACACGTTATTGTAATATTTTAAATAAATAGGAGTCACGTATAGTTCAGCTGTTGCTATGCCTAATACCGACATCATACATTATTATTATTAATTACTTAAGATGTCATGTGGAACAGGTTGCAGCTCTTAACAAACATTGTTTAAAACAAAAAACTTGGCGATTAAAAAGAGTGGCGGAGAGTTTATTGCCAGTTTTTCTCTTCCGTTCCGTACGCCCTTGTATGAGAACTGGCAGTAAATGTAAAATTAGAAGTATTTCATATATATTTATTTTTTAACTTCGTACGTAACACAATGTGTTACGTACGAAGTTAACAGTTAGTGTACAATGTACACTACTATTCTGTTACCTATATGAATAAATGATTTTTGAATTTGAATTACCTTAATAAAGACAATTTTATAGGTAACGGAAATCACTTAGGAAAAATAGATTCTCCTATCCTTATCAAACATCTATTTTGGTAAAATTGATTTTATCAGAACAGGTTACACTTGAAATATCGTGTCAACGTACTTCAACGATTTAATCTAGTACATATCAATCTAACATTATCAACGCGACTCCACGTAAAAACACAATTGATTTTATAAAATTTAACAAGAATTTCGAATTTAATATATAATAATATAATAGAGAGAAGTGGAATAATTTATTAAAAAATTTGTAATTTTCATGCACCTACAATATTCGTTTCGTGTTACCGCAGCCAATTAGCTTAATTAGCTGTTCAATTAACAGCCTAGCCTTTAAACTAAACGGCGCCGTTTAACTAACGGCCTGAAAGATATTCAGCCGTAGCGTTCGTTTTTAAATGTTACGTAGCGTTCGTTACAACATTTAATAAACTGGCTGGCTAATGTAAGCTCTATGACTCTCGTAATTAGGCCATTCATACGAGAGTCATTATTCATACATACGAGAGTCATTATTTGGCAGAAATAAAAAGATAAACATATGACATAAAAAATATTTCTTTTAAAATTAAATTGCTTAAGTCAAATTCACATTATTATTGTCTCTACACTGTACTTGTTGTTTTTCGTGAAAATTTGGAAAACACCATCAAAGTTGTGATTTACCGACGCCATATTGTCAGTTTGAAGAGTTGCGTTTCGAGTTTGAGAGTGGCCGAAAGTGGAACTAAATTTAAATTAACAGTCAACAAGTTAGGCAAGTAATGAAACGTCAATGATCCATGTCATTTTCCTAGATGTTCAATCAACTGGCTGAACATCTTTCAGACCGCTAGTTAAACGGCTAGGCTGTTAATTGAACGGCAACAAAGCCATTCCAGCTGTTAAGGATATACAACTTCTCGGCTTCTTCTGGCCAGTCAGTGGTTAGTTTTTTCGACGATCCTCCCTTTAGGAGCACATTCCTTCCTTCACACACCGCAGGAAATATTTCAAACTTAATTTTATTACCGCGCATACCTACTTACATTCGAGCTAAAAACCTTTATTTTAGCCTCATATATCTGGATCTGCTATATTGATACTTCGTTATAGGCAAGTTCTTCTTGGCGTGAAACAACGATTTTGGGTGTAAGTACATAATATATTTTGAATGAAGTTTTCTTCACCGTACGAGTTAGTATTGCAAACACCATAAAATCTATTGGTGACCTTCTGGTGTCCGAACGATTGTCCTCAGGATTTAGAATCACTACGCTACTCCTGTTCGTCAGTTTATAAATACTTATAAATGTGTTAATAAACATGTTCTGACGTTTATACTAAAATAACATTTCCATAGCCAAAGTAAAACCAGCGAAATTACCTCCTAGACACAAGCTGTAATTATAAATAGACAATATAAGTAATCTACGAACTAGTTAATTTTAATAGCTCATGCCGTCTAAACGTTATCAAATGTGTATTTTTGTATTGTTCCCGCCACCCTATCAAATGTATTCAACAATAAAATTATTTAATTGCTTAACTATGGCAGTTATCATTAAAAAAATGGGTCAAACGGAACGCCGAATAGTTTCTACGTTTAATAATAAAACAAATTTTATATTTAGATTTACATTTTACGAGGCAACGATACTTTGGCCTATGTATGAAAAACATCACGAAAGTTAAAAATTTATCATATATAAAAGTAAAATAAAGATATATTTTTGATTACAAAACAACAATATTTCTAGGATGTTAATTGATGTTATCACTTAGCACAATTTATCTGTCTGTCTTTAACTCTCGCCTTCACTGTCTACATAGGGGTGCCAATAGATATATATTACATATAATAAAGTGTTAAATAGTCAGTCTATTTTATGATAAATTTTGCTTACTGACAGAAACATTGATGAATAGAAATTTAAGCCAGGAGCCTGATGTCAGGAATATTTCTATTATATACAGTTAAACAAATCTTAAAATATTAGTAATATGTACAGATTATACAGATCTTTTATCTTACTGAGGTATAGAGTTCTCTACTTAGTTTTATTTAGTTCTTCTTGTAATTTCCCAGAGTACACCAACTACTTAGTAAGTGTGTTACTACTAAGCACTGTACGCTGAGAAATTACACCTAAGCGAGGTCTCTAGTTTCTAGACCTAAGCTATATTGTAAAAACAACATGTTTTCTAATATGCACTTGCACATGTTAATCAATATGATAAAAATTGTATTTCCAAAGCCAACTTATCTGAAACAAATAAAACGTTTAAAACGCGGTATTGTTTCTGTGCTGTGCCGAAAAACGTCGTATTTTGCTGAAAAGTCTAAAAATAAATACTAGAGTTGTCCGAAACTTCTGTAATTAGCTATAGGATATAATATAGGCAAGGACAGACTTGTTTTGTACGATACTAATGTTGTTTACGTTATGTCACAATCAGTCTGAGTAAACAGTGACCTAAGGACCTTTTATTTTTAATTTATGTTGACTGATTACTGTGGCGCTAAAGATAATACTGTTGCTATGTGCACGAATAATATACTTTGATATCAATTCTTTGCTTAGTAACCAAATTATATCAAAGGGTGTTTAGGGAGCGTTCAAATATTACGACACGCAATTTTTGGAGATTATTGACCACCCCCCCATGTAACACGCCGTAACGTTTTTCTGTACCCAATGGTAAAACGTTTCGTGACCACCCAGTGACTCTTTATACCTAAAAGTTACCATTATGTGGTGTAAAGTACTGGAAAGTCGAAAATAATATTAACAATAACGCGTAATTCAATCCCCGCCCCGCGTCGTAACGTTTTAGAAAAGGACCTCCCTCCCCCCAAAATTCGTTACGTAATACTTGAACGCTTCCTTACCTATATTCTATGATTACTTACATTTTTTTTCATTTTAAGTATAATCGGAACACTTCCTAGGCCGATAGATTTTCATATGACTATTGTTTGCATAATACACATTTAGTAAATAAGTGAAAAACATAGGACGCACGGTATATTTTCTATATATATATAGAATATAATATAGACTTTTTTACTTGAAAAACGTGGTTTGGCTTGATAATTCAATTCATGTTCAATCAAGTAATGAAAACGAAGCAGGAAAGTCAGGTTTTTACAGTATATTACGAAGATACTTTAAAAGGGAGTGAGAAATATATTATATAATAATATACTTAAAGACAGAATTTTTTAAATCAAAAATAGAAGCTGTATTTAAAATCGCTATCATAATGAATTAGAATGCACTTTTGATGTTTGAATTTGGTTTGTTTATGACTCTCGTTATCTTAATGCCAAGACAATATTTTGTAAACAACTTAAATTGACTATGGGCCATTAGATCGTTATTCTATTCTCAATTTCTGACACATCATTCATAACCTCTTGAGGGATCAAACATCTGTTGTGCTCTTAGTGAAAATGGATCCAAAATATTATGTACGTAATTTTTTAGATTTAGTTTAATACAAATGTATTTAATATTGTTTAGCTTATAGCAATAGTTCTTTTAAAATTAAACTATGCGATTTGAAAATGGAATGCCACCTGCGAGTTTTAAGTAATTTGACTTATACTTGCTATTTGAATTTTGTAGAGGTCTGCGAAATTAAATGTTTTTTATATTGTTACAGGTGTACATAATTCTTCTACTACATAGCGCCTTCAACCCTATCGAAGCGGAAACGGAAACATACCGAATGACGGATCACGTTTTCACCTGTAGCAAATGGCTTTCATCAGTTATTGAAAACCTTTGCAATAACGTCTACAGAATTGTTAAGAGAGACACTTCGTTATTAATGGGTGAGTATTTTTTAAGTATTACTTAGGTAGGTTAGATTAAGTAAATCTTACTTAATCAATTTAATAGGTGTTTTAAGTTCTTAATATATGTTTTTGTCGTCATTACAATGATATTTAATTTAATCTAGTTGGATATATTATTTTTCATTATCTATGCTATTTCAAATGTCCTATTAATCCATTTGTTCAATTTCATTTCACGTGAGAAAGTGAAAATAATTTTAATTCGATTCAATTACTAATACGTTGTAAGCATTTATAAAATATTTTCTAAATGTAGTTTAGTTATTAGGAATTTTATTTATAGTCCTTTCATTAACATGCAGTAATCACGCCGAAAAAAATAGTAATTATTGTTTATTTCATAAATAGATGACTTTGTTAGAAAAAGCAGTCTCGTATATTTTAACGATTGACAGCTATTAAATAGCGCCGACGGGATTTGAACGGGTGACGGTTAAGAGTCGCACGCTAATAGATAAAAAATATGGTTTCAATTTATACAAACTAATTACGTTCACAAAGAACGTTTTTAAAATTTAATTTACAATAAAATATGCTTACAAAGCATTGATCTATAAACCATTAATGAAATTAAGTATTAGGTACCTACACAATACTTTAATGGTAAGGTTTTATTTAAAAAAAAAAAAATCTTCTGCGCGTATTTGCAATCATCCCTAGGCTATGAGCGAATCTGTGCTGTGTTGCTTTCCTGTGGAGTGGCTTCCCATTGGAAGCATCTAGTCATCTACTGCCTAGAGCTACTGCCGGTCTTCTAGTTATAGAATATGGTGACGTTTCAGTCGTCTCAAATACTGTTCTATGGTGAGTTCGCGAGCAAGTTCGTTCGGGTGACAGATTAACCGCTCTTGGTATTTAGCTGCCAGACTCCGGACTCCGGATTTCCCCTTTGATTGCTCTCATTTCAAGGTGTTCGTAAACTTCTTTGTTGGTTTTGTACCATGGTACTTTTGCCCCACAGTTGGAGGCCATATGTCCACAAATGGGGTTTAGGATGACTTTATATTAATCCACGATCAATGTGAAAGCCAAGATATCTTACATATTAAAAATAACACTGTCAATTGTTCAAGACTCGAACCCCAAGACTTCTATTATAGGAATTAGAACGATGTATGTTCGACATTTAATTAAATTCCAAAAGTGGTGTTAAAATTTGTACAAAACATTAAGTTAGTATGCTAAGTAACTTTCGTACAACGATACTGTACCTTATTTCTATATAGCGACAATCTCTTAGGTATTGTTATATTATTTACTCCTAGCTGATCCGTGCCCACATAGTAGGGCTACGTTTTGTAACTTCAATATAAAAAAAATTATATATGCTGCCATATTTTTTGTAAGTTGTAGGTACCTATCTTTAGAAGTCATCGTTCGCAAAACACGTTTTCGTTCGACCGCTTTTACTGCGACTATGCAAATCCAACTACCAAGGAAAAGCCTACTTATTATATTTTTCCAAATGTATATAATGTCACAAATAACACGGCTTTCTATTGCTGATAGAATTTTCAAAATTATTTTTTGTAGTACCAGATATTAGGTAATCTCCTTTTTACCCTTACTTTTTTAAATATTAGTATATATCTACCTTATGTATAAAGCTCTCTCTTAATGTTACATTATTTACAATAAAGTAATCATGTAAGTCAAGCACGTATAGGAATTAATAACAAAATAAACAAAACGCTAAATGCACAACTTATATTTGCCCTAATAAAGCAAATTTGTAAACTATACAAAAATCTTAATTAATGATAGATTAAGTTCACAGTGAGGTAAAGTATTTAAGGGTTCACAGTGACACAGTAATTGTTTCAGGCTGGTTGGCATACAAAGTTGTTTGAGAAAAATATAAATAAAACATGCAAATACATAATGATCCGACGCCCTAGTTGATCTAGTTCTTAGGGTAGGAAATTAAACACTCTAATGATGACTTGATTCACTTCACTGATTTTACGTAAACTGTATAACTTCAAACTACCTCAAACCTCTTTTATACCTAATCTATTCCCTACTCCGACTTGACCATCCCACTTCGGGCAGATGTTCATGTCAATTCGTAAACAATCAAACGAGTCAAATGAGTAACTGTTGCACATGCGCACTTGTAGCAAAATTCTTAAGAATATGTTTCATAAAAATGTTTAGAATTTAATTAAATAAATATTAAAAGCTAACAATAGAATATTACGTATAATTAGTTGTCTTTCTTTTTTCTGTTCTAGAGAAACTGACACCTCGCGATATTCAGAAGAGTGTGAATAGACGTCGGTTTCTAGCTGAAGAGAAATGGCGTCGCTTGCGTAGGCAAGTCGCGACTGAGTGCTGTGTGGAGGCATGTACGATCAGCAACATCATTTTGTACTGCCCCGAGAACTCCAAAGTCATTAAAGAAAACCCCCATATCTTTGGTTAAGTAAACCTTAAGACTTTAGAATCACTTTAGCAAAGGCATTCCATGAATTGATAGAACAGACTTTTTTAACTTGGTCTTGAAATTTTTATAAGTGCGGGATTCAGTCAATAAAATTAACAAGCAAATAAAGTGATATAATGTAAATCCACGAAATAGATAAATACGGTTGGATTTGTGGTGTAGGCATGCGTAAGGAAAGCGTATATTAAACAATCACATCTCATAGATTTGGCATATGTATGAAATGCAGTAGTGAGTTTCGTTAAGCCGCGACACTGGTGAGACGACAAGATTCTTCCAACAGTATTTATCTAGTTCGTGGTTAAATTAATATATGGATATTTAGATGTGGGTAAAATAATCGAATAGCACTTCGGGCACAACTGACAATAAAATGTATAAAACTTTTCTAGTTTTTATTTAATAACCCAAAAAAGTATTTGTTTACTGTTTATAATGATTAAAAGATTACGAAGCTTGTCGTTAGTCGTCTTCAATTTTATTTTAGTAAGCTGCGACACCATTCTTTGTGTATTATATTTGATAGTACATCAAACGTTCTAGTTATTAAATTTACCTACCCTCGGCTAACCCGATCAATAATTGCATTTTAAAGTAATATATTTGGTTATTCAAAAGCTATGCCAACATCGAGTGAGCTGTACTAAAAATTGCGAAATATTATCATCACGAAAATATAGTGTACAGCTTATCAATAATAATATCAAATTTATCTAACAAGTTCGTATAACTTTCGTAAGTACTTCTTTTCGTAGCTTATAGATTAAGGGAATTCATAACAAGGTTTATTTGTTAAACAAAAACTTAAAAGTATACATCGAATTTCTAATCGAAATAATAATTGTAAAAGTGCTTGCTTCCTCCACTAAGCTATCTGCGCGGAAGATATAATATAAATGTGGTCAGGCACAGGTCAAGTCTATATTCCATAACTCTCTCACCACACGAGTCGAGCTATTGTGTCGTGGTGTTCAAACACCACCAACATCGTAAATCGTAATATAGGACTTCTGAAATTATTCTAATAGGAAATTAGAAAGCTTGTAATGTTATAAGTATTTGTCTTGTTGGCATTCCAACCCGAAACATTTAGTACATGTCTGGTACTTGATGTTAAATTTAGAATTATTTAGATTTGCTTAGACGCGTCATATCTCAAGGTTAGTTATTTTGGGAGAATTAATAAGATGAATTAATAATTTCATGAGAAAAGACGCTGTTTCACAGGGTTCCATAAATTACATGAATATGATAATTTAGACACATGATTCTAGATAAATGAGTAATCGGAGTGACAGTTCGGGTGTGGTTATAGTGATGTACATAGCAAGTACAAAAATATCAATGCTTACTTGGCAGGTCACTACACCTTTAAAAGCTTCCAGACAAATTTGGGTAGGACGGCTAATTTATAGTCAAGCTTGCAAACTACACAGTAGATTGTAAATAGCACACTAATTTATTTAGTTACAGCATACATGCCAAACAATAATTTTACTTACATATTAACTTAGACTACTAAAAATAACTACTACTACTCAAGAGGGGGCATAAATCAAAATCACTCATCATAGATTTCAATTTTATGTGTGTATATGACGGTTGAATAAAAAAAACTTATTGCTATTTACAATTCACTATCATTTTGAGATTACTCTGATGAAAAACACTATAAATTAAGTATATATTACATATAAAAAATCACTTCTAATTGTTATCTAATTTTGATAGTATTCAATTATGGCGTGTTTTATTGAGGGTAAAATGTATTTATTTACATTACATTAGTTTGATCTAGAGCTATTACTAATGATTTGATTAAATATTGTTATTTTACGACTTATATAAATAAAAATCATATGGCGCTTACTTCATTTTTGTTACGCGAAACACTGAATCTTATGTCACGCGAACTTCGGGCATACGTTTGTTTCTAGTGTCAGTCGTTCCCAGTATATTATATTATTTCTCTATGGTCGTCGCTATCGCTTCATTAAGACGAGAACACTACGCTTCTTTGCGCCAATTATAATTTAACGAGTTTACGTTATAATTACAACTAGTAAAAAAAATACCTTTACCAAAAACTATCTAATACCCTCTAGCATTTAGTGTTAGTAAGATATATATATATATAATACGTAATTATTCAAGTTAAAAGAAAGGTTTAAATAAATTTCAAAACAAACCAGTATATGTAAACTAAACAGATATTATTTGATGATTTTATTGAACATGATACGTATACAATTTTATTTGCCGCTGTTAAGTGTTAATTAATTTCTACATTACGTACCTACCTACATTTCGACATAGCTTTGTTGGGTTCTAGCAAAAAAAAAAACTTAGCCAGATGCAGAATGCAGATTTGGATAACCGAGGCCCCATTTTGCGTGTACCGTCCGTAGCAGTTTTTACTCTCGCCACGTGGTTAATTCGACACTGGTTATATTCACAATCTCTAGTCGTCACCCACTCGGTAGGAGGATAGATATAAATAGTAAACCGAATATTACTATTTTATCTAACTGTATTGCATATACTACGAATCGTACAGAATGCCCTCAAGTGACCCAGCCCTGTAGATGTGCGACCGTTGCTCCGCGGTGATTGTTGTCATTTCTAAGACGAGTGGAGAAGGACGCGCGGGTAAAATAATAAATTTTGCTAGCTTTAAGCGCATTCTTAAACGCCGCACTCAGGCACTTTCTTAGCGCTTAGCTAGATTGATTAGTTTCACTCGACCGGTGTTTTGCAAAATCAGGCCCTCAACCGATAGCTTTAAGTGTTTAACGGCGGAAGGGAAAGCCTGAGTAAAAACTAATCTAACTTGCTAAAATAATAACAACCATTACTTAAGCTATGCCTATATACATGTTTGCACAGTATCTTTTGACGTTTTCAACGTAGCTAACAGAACGACGTAAGCAAACTGGCTTCATATTTACCGACGGTAAAATTTCTTATAAATTAAAAACATTAAATAATAATAAGATAATCTACTAGGATACTAAAAGGATAACTGAAGCTTCAGATACAAACAAGAATTTTCATAACAGAAGTAATTTAATAGGGTTCGATCCGCTTCCCGCTTGCCTATGCAACATGATCATGGAATAGGAATATTAAAATTTAAAGCGGTCTATATAAACCTGGGCTTCCCAATATTATCATATCAAGGCATACATTTCAATACCTAGAGAAGCTACATCTTAAAATAAGCTTTTATCTAATGGTAAGAATTGAAATACTAAAAACGCAAACGATTTTACATGATGCGAAGAATTGCTAGTTACCGAGCTATAAAGTCTTTTTAATTTTGACAAGTTTTTACTCTATTTTTCGTAGACGTACCTTGCATAACAACCGACTTAATAGATTGCTTAAAGGACAAGGGCGTAGATTGCTCTCAGTATTATTTGGATTTTTATTAATACTTTTAGAATTGGAACATGAAGCTTGCAGTGATAGTTTTATGTGTGATGACGATGTCACGAGCCGATCAGGAAACACCTGTGGTGCTATGTGGAAGGGAACTTGCCAATGCCAGAGTGTTAGTTTGCTATGGCGCTGAGTTTGTTTCTAAACGAGCGTCACCGCAATCTATAGTCGGTTAGTACATTTTATTATATACCTTCAGATTTATTTTTTATTTCTTTAAAAGGCTGTTTAGAAAATAAATGGAATCATGTTAACTTTAAACTCTGGCTAAATTAACAAATCTCGCCATTTTAATCTACCTTCGATATACTTGCATCTATCAAATATATTGTAATTAATCAACTGATTTTACAGCCGCATTAGCAAGTGGCGATAAATGGATTGAAGAACTCATGTGGGGAGGGCGTCGTGCCGCTATAAGTGCTGATTGGAACCGATACAAAAGGGGCGGGTTGGCTGATGAATGCTGTCTTAAACCCTGCACCACCGCTGATATACTTAACTACTGCTAAACGTGTGAATAAAATATCTCCTGTACATATGTATTTAAACTTCGGTAAGCTGGCCTACCTTAAATAGATAAATAAATATATTTACCTGGTCGTTTGTATTCCTTTGATTGTGAAATCATTTAAAAATTACAACGGCATAGAAGATACAAGTATTTAATTTGTGAAAATATGTTTTATTCAATACATAGTTTATTATAAATTGTTGCAAATTTGTAATAATTGGTTATTCAATGGTGTACACAAAAATATATATACATTTTATGCCGGTGGAATTTCAGAATTAGTTCCAAGCGGAAATAAAAACACCCCGTATATTTTTATAATTACATGATTTATTGCACATAAACATTTAACAATATTTTAACTAGCAAATATTTTCTGTTTTTTACGCAATCGTATACTGTTAAGTATCTCAAAAATAAATGCGATACAAGACAAAACCCATCCTAAAATTAATATTCCGAAGCATCCAGTAAAATGGTTTAACGTAAGGGGAATGTTAGCGTTCTCCTGAGGTTCAGGCAAAATAGAGGTGTAATTTTCAAATATTTTTTTCACGATTCCAGCTTCAAATAATCGAGCAAACACCAAATTAACTGGACGCGTCACTAAAGACTTCCTAGCAAAATAAACCACTGAGTAACTTTCTACTATTTTTTTGGGAAGCGCATGAATCTCCAGATGAGTGTTACGCTGAAATACTTTTGCGAATACCGTATTAGCCCCGTATGTAAACTTCCCATCTGTCATTATACGCCCCAAATTAGCATATAAATCGGTACTATTATCAGATTTCCAATTATTGTAAATAAATGGGTCATTTGAATAAAATTCTTTAAGAGGTTTACCGCCTCCAAATGTATATCCTTCAGCTATGGCATCTTGAATATTGTGAATAGTATCGACTTTTACATCAGTTTGTAAGAAATATATTAGGTTAACTTGATAAAGTGTTCTTACTAGAAACCAATACCAAATCCAATATAAAATCAGATGTTTGCAAAAGTTTACAGGATATTTGGTAACGGACACGCCCAAAGTTATTTGTACAGTATAGGCAATAAAATAATGAGAAAATTTATCAATTCCTTTCACTTTACTAAAGATTCTCCAAACACTGTGATCGATAAAATAATGTGATAAAACGAAGATCCCGAATGTTACCGATATAAAAAACCATGCACCGGCAGTAAAAGGTTTTAATAGTTTTACTGAAGACGATTCTAATCTCAATGGATGAATTAGCCAGACCATGGTTATTGTGTTAAAAATCGTAGATATATCAAAATCGTGGTAGCGTTCTTCATTCATGGTAGCAGAAGCAGTAAAGGAAAGGTTTGCTAAATTTTTGTCAAGATCACCAAGAGAACCAATCCATGTATTGTTGACAAGATATCCCCAGCCCTTGCCATCACTTGGTGAGATGACAACTAGACTTGCATTGACAGCATCTCCAGTAATTCGCATCACATCACCATCTGTTCCGGATGGGATGCCATCTTTAATAAACATAAATGGATTCAATTCAAAGGTTGAAACTATTAGCGGGCAACGATGGAAATTCATTAGCTTTAGAGGAAAAATACTTCGTGTTGTGCAAACTTGCTTACTATCTTTGTACGAATGAATGCAGTCTTCCCAATTTTTAACTCTTTCAGGCGTAGGATGGTCACAATCTTCATTTGGAAAATAGACATAGCCACTAACAGAATTATTTTCGTATTTGATAAAGATGACGTTTAGGATTTTGTAACTCCACAACATTGGTATAGTTTCGTTCTCATCACATTCATTTTCATTAAAACATATGATAATAAATTTCGCGTTTGGGTCAAATTGTTGCAATTTCAGTGCTTCTAACGTCAAAACAATATCTGGAATATCGTTTAAAAATAGCACGTATTGTATTGTGTCATCTATGAAATGATTACCTTTCATGGATTTTGAAATAGCGTTCAACTTAACTTTTTTGCCGTATACTTTCGCAAAAACACCAACTCCATATAAATAGGTTGCATTAAATAAAACTAAGGTTGCAAATTGCCATTTAAATGTATGATAAGCAATATATCCAGCACTTTCAGCTAATTTGTCAGTGTTTAAACTTTCTATAATAGCTTTATCTAATACACCAGACATTTTAAACTAGCCGAATAAATTGTACATATACGAATGCTTTCATTAAAATTTTTTATACTTAATTAAGTCTCGTATTTTTAAATTTTTTATCAATAATTTAAGTTAAACGTTAGTATACTTGGAGAGCAGTTTCAAAGGTGTTCGTTAGTCAACTCTTTACTATCAACCCTCAAAAATTTTAAACACCTAATACTTACAAAATAATTAATAAAGCAGGATAGTTATTATGCTTCATAATTTACGAAAAGCTATCAATTACATACGACATTTAGTGATTATTTTTTATTCATGGTGATTTGTAGTGATAGAATAACATACATTTTAGTACAAGAAATATAAGCTAAAGACACGCAACAAGGTAGAATTATTGTGAAAAGTTAAATTACCGATAGATATTTCTGAATATTTTACAATCTGCGCCAAACAGTTTCTCTAATACAAAAACAGCGATGGATAATATATAACCGAATACCAATATTGTAAAACAAGTATGAAAATGTTTAAAAAAAAGTACTTCTTGTGTATTATTTTTTTGTTTAGGCCTATAAATGTAGTTTTCATATAATGCATCTGGTATACCAGCTTCAAAAAGGCGCGTTAATACATGATTAACATCCTGAGTCAAACACGAATGTTTTTTAAAAAACAATACTGTCGGGCTATTCAATATTTTATGTGGCAGAATACGTAATGATAGACGCGTATTTCGCCGAAACAATTTAACGAACACCAAGTTAATAGCAAAGACAAATTTCTTACCTTTAGTCAAATCTATCATAGTAGGAAACATTTCATTGGTGTCTATAAATACCCAATTATTATATATAAATTGATCATCCACAAAATAATCTCTTATAGCCGGACTGCTTCCATACTGGTAACCTTCTTCGATAGCATCTCTTAAAGTATTTATAGTATTAAGAGGTACATCTGTATGCAGGGAATGTATAAGGTATACTTGATACAATATTCTTACAAAGAACCAGTACCATACCCAAAATAGAAACACGTGTTTATAAAAATTCTTCGGATACTTGGTCACCGAAAACCCTAAACTTATTTGTAATGCATAGATAAGAAAAGAATCAGAAGACAAACCTGCATTGAATCTTGTCTTGATCTTATCCATAATTCTCAATTTTAAAAGGATGTGGATAACAAGGGGAATCATTAATGTAACTACAAAGAGCATTCTTGCTTTTCTAGTAAACGGTTTTAGCAACTTAAGCGATGAAGATTCAAATTCTGATGGATGGGTGATCCAAACCAAATCCAAAGTATTATAATTTATAGACATATCGAAGTATTTTAATCGATTGAAAGTGATTGAAGCTGATGTCATAGAAACATTGGCCAGGTCGTTGTAAACATCACCAAGAGAACCAGTCCAAGTATTATTCTCATAACTACCCCAGCCGTCATCATCACGCGGTGAGATCAGGACAAGCGTTGCATTAAGAGTATGCACTATACAACGCAGCAAATCTCCATCAGCACCATACGGTACACCATCGTTAATGTACATGAAGGGATGTTGTTCAAATGTCGAAACAATCAAGGGACAGCGGTGAAAATTACTAAATTTTTGTGGAAACATATGCTTCTTGCAAAGCTTTATAACTTTTTTAGAAGAATCAATGCATTTGTCCCAATGTTCAAGCCTCCGCGGGGGTGTTGGGCGATCGCAACGTTCACTTCGAAAGTATGTATAGCCACTTATTAAAGAATCTTCGTTTTTAATAAATATGACATTAAAAATTGTATAAGTCCACAGTATTTTTACGGCTTGAGTCTCGTCACATTCGTTACTGTGTTCACAAATTATTATAAATTTAGCATTTGCTTTAAGTTTTTGTATTTCTATTACATTTAAAAACGCCTGTGCATCTGACACATCAGCTACGAATAAGATGAACTGGTTAACATCTTCACTTTTTAAATCCGGTACGGATTCCATCACATTGTAAAGTTTAATATTTTTGTCATATGATTTAACAAATACGTCAAGTCCGAATAAACATGAAGCGTTAAATAATATCAATGTTGTGTACTGCCACTTGAAACTATGGTAAGCAACTTGAGCAGCATTTTGTGCCATTAATTCTATTATTTCTTCAACCGGATATCTTTCAAACATTTTATTCAAAAGTTCGCTACACGGCCTAAACAATATACAATTCACATTCAGCCTGAATGATTTTGATAACTTACTAGAAAATATATATGCATTTCACTAGGGGTTGGTACTATATTTTATGCTGATAAGTGAAGTGACAGAAGGCCCATTAATCTATCAAATAATAAACTGATGTTACAGATAAAATTGTTATTAATGTTTTATCTAAACGATGAAACACAATTATCTTACTATTCATCATTTTAGGGTAAATTGAAAAAAAGGATTTATTGTATGAATCACATTTTATTATTATTAAGGAGTCACTTAGTGTGCAGTGATTACATATTTGCGTGTCGGAAAATTCTTAAAAGCGGATTTCTACATTTACAAACTATCATTACAACGTCATACCATTACGGGCTTTAAATTTAATTGATTTAATGGCAGACTTTCCTTTTATGCATAATAAGTGTATGTTTTTTGTGATACATATATTTTTCAATAGAAAACACAATTAAGGAAGCTACCCAGCCACCTCCTAATATCATAAAACAACCAGAATAGTCTTGTAATGTTATTGGTTTGGGGGCGTCTTTATCCACATCAAATCGAAGATAACTATTATCTTTATAAATTTTCTGCACCACCCCTGCTTCTATCAGATGTGTCAAAATTGAATCAATAGATTGGGCTAACGAAGAATACTTTTTAAAAAATATTACTGTAGGGCTTTTTATAATTCTTTCAGGCAAGATGTGCAATTTTCTTTTTGGTTTTCTAAGAAACACTTTGGTAGCCTCAAAACTAACGGCTGCGACGAATTTTAAGCCTTTAGATAGCTCTTTCATTATCGGATATACTTGATTACTTTCGATATTTTTATAGTTGTTATAGATCAAAGGATTGTCTATGAAATAATCTTTAAGAGCCAGACCTCCTCCATATGGATAACCAGCAGCAATGGCATCCTCAATACGCACAAAACCATTTATGCGCACATCAGACTGTAATGAGCTTATAAGGTAAACTTGGTATAACGTTCTCAATAAATAACAATGTAATATCCATAGGAGTGTTAAATACAACAAACTCCATTTTTTCGGCAACTTAGACGCTGGCAAGCCCATACAGATTTCCCAAGAATAAAAGACAATCCCATCAGGTATATCATTAATTTTAAACTTATTTCGAATACTTGTCCAATACTTACTTTTGAATATGGCGACTGCGATCATGATAATAATAAAGTTTAAACACAAAAGTATTTTAGCTTCTTTCCTATATGGCCTCAAAAGTTTAAATAATGACGGTTCTGGGTTCGAGGGGTGCGTAATCCAGACAATCGTGACAGTGTTATAATCTTTGGACATTTGAAAATATCTATATCGGTGAAGGGTGATACTGGCTGATGTCATTGAAAAGTTGGCCCAGTCGTAGTAAACATCACTAAGAGAGCCCGACCAAGTACCGTTCTCTTCGAGTTTACCCCAACCAGTGCCAAGCTTTGGTGTTACCATTATAAGGCTTGCGTTCAAGGCCTTGATGATAACTCTTAGAAGATCACCGTCGGCCCCTGTCGGAGTTCCATTCCCTAGCATCATGTATGGAGTTTGTTCAAACGTTGAAACAATTAACGGACACCGCTGCAAATTCTTGAATTTTATAGGAAACATATGCTGGCATTTTGTTGAATTTTTGGAACGGATACATGCGTTCCAATTTTCTACTTCTATCGGTGGGCCGTTGCGACATGTGGAATCTTGGAAATAGGTAAAGCCAATTGGCTTATCAAATTCGTCGTATTTCATAAAAATAACATTTGCCATCCTATATTCCCAAAGCAAATTAACGGCAACAGATTCATCACAGGTCCATCCAGCTATTGTGTTACATATTACCAGATATTTACCTGTGTTATTAAATCTTTGCGTTTTCAACCAGTCCAAGAAATCTAACAGATCCGTTAAATCACTTATGAATAAGACGAATTGTTTAGTGTTTTCCAAAACCCATGGGTTGAATGTGCTCTGTCCTATAATTATGCTTTTTTGATAAAATTTTAAGAAAACATTAACACCACAGAAAAATGCCGGATTAAATAGGATTAACGAGGCGTACTGCCATCTAAAATTGTTTAAAGCCACATCTGCCGCACTTTTTGCGAGCGTGTCAAAAACTGAACAATTGTCTGGTGAAGGTCTGTCTATGAACGTCATGTTGGTTCTATAAAATGTTCAATGATAATTTGAATCGTTTCACGCTAAACGAGCAGTGCTATCATATGGTAAAATCAGTTCCATAAATGAAATGACTGCTGTAAAATAATGAAATGTAAAACGCTATTACTTAATTGTTTCTATGAAAGGGCCATGGATTTTATAATAGGTTTAATCTTAAATTAAATGTCGTAGTAAAGAAAACAAACAACGTAGCTGAAAAAAATTATATTTTATGAGAAATTATAATTTACAATATTACATACAGGCATCCATCTTCAGTCGAAACTTAAGCTAAAATTCTCACAATCTCACGCAAAAGGTAAAGCAACGTTAGACTATAGTATAGTTTAGCAATATTGTGTAGTTATCGCCCAATCGTAAAAAAATCACACCGGTAAATTCAGTCATTGAAAGGAAGATCGGCATCGTTCGGCGCAGGCGCTGCGTGCCGAGACCATCTCGAGTCGCATCTCAACATTCATAAATTAACACGTATAAATAAAATCTCTTTCTGTCATTTGTGCTTGAAGGGTAACTTAGTGAAGCTTAAAATAATTTGTGCTCGAGCAATTAATATTCCGACATATACTATACGACCAAAATAAGAGATAATTTTAAGATATTCTTATTGGTCCTCTGTGTTGGTGTTTATAAGTACGTTTACAATTAAATAATCAGTCCGTTAAACTAGCGTTACTGTCGTATAATTTATGCTTCACATTTACAAGTAAAGCCTGTGAGAATGGATGGACCCTAAGTAAACAATCGCGTAAACAAGGGAAAATTTATAAAACGGACAGTTAAAGATCAAATAGTCATAGAAAATTAAACGATTACTACTCGTAGGGGCCAGTTTCGTTATAGTAGGTATACGATAGTTTCCCTAGGACCCAGCGTAGACTATACGTACACTAATGTACTGTTATCTGAATAGTCCAGTGACGTCGATTTAAGAGACTGTAAATAAAAATCGAAACAGAATTTAATAAAGTTGCTATATCTTTGGTTTACCTTAAAACAATCTCATGAAATTGACGTCATCGATAACGCTCCGACCCTTCGCGAGGCACACGGTGCCCACCTCTAAATAAAAATATATACGCATTCAACAATAAGTATAACAAAAATATATAAGCGACTGTCAAAGACGGTGGAATCGCTCGGCACGCAAGCATTTTAGGAATTGACCGTGCGCCGAACAGAAATAAACATCGCTGTACAAACAACTATGTACAGGGCATACACAGAGATTGCAATGGGTAACATGAATAGAAAGACTCCAATATTGTGCGCTAAGTTCCAAATTCACATGATTTTGAGCATTTCGGACAGATGTATGTATCTCGAGAAGCAAATAGTTTTGCTATTGACAGAATCGGGTATCGGTCCTCGCTTAAAATAACCAAGAATATTACAGAGTCACAACAACAAATAAGTTAATACAAATAAGTTACATGTTCGAAATAGAAACTCGGTTTCCTTACTATACATAACATAACTAACCGTAAACACGAAGCAACACACTAAATTAAGCATATAATAATAAAAATATTCTCTAAAATATGGAAGATCAAAAACAACGTATAATATGTTCGCGCTTCGGTGAGAGCCCGCAACGACATCGAGTGTCAATCGTGTGCCAATAGCAAAACTCGGCATTGACCTGTCAGCTCAATTCACTCAGCACATTTAGACCCAAATGTACAATATATTACATTCCGTGTTAAGCTTTCGTGCAAAAAACATCAGTTTCAGTTTAACAGATATCGCATTGTATTGGGTTCCTAGTAAAAAAAGTTTATATCAAATGCATTTAAAAATGTCCTTACACAACTAACGTACGCCCGTCGGCTCCGACTCTCGAACAGACGTGAGGAGAGACACCGTCGCGAAGGCGAAGCCTTAGTAAAACAAACTTTACGTCAATTAATTTCTTAGAAAAACAGCTCAAACGATACACATGTCAATGAATAGAATTCCAATGTACAAAACGAAAAGAGAATCGGTAGTAAGGGAGGAAGGACAGGCTTCGTCGCTTAAATAAATACGATATACAATACGAAGGGGCCGCGGCCGCCCTTCGACCGACTAGTTTGTTCGAATCCATTCCTCTGGACGTTCACGTATACTAGTAGAAAGATATTATGGCAACAAACTTTACAAAAATCCTAAAACAATGACTAAAAGCAGCGACGGCGAGGCCACGACTCGCCGCTCGCTTTAAAAAAATGCACAATTTAATATTCACCGATACAGACACGTACATAAATTGTGAATTACCTCATCATAAAAAAACATGTCAAAAAGGTCCTGAAACGGCACCGCCCGCCGGTGCCCATTAATTAGGTTAAATGACTTACAATCTAACCTTACTTGTCATAAATCTGTTTAAGATGAATAACTTTCGTCCACCCGATCAGTTCGCGAATTTTTACATTTTGTCGTGAAATGATGATGTTTAAATTACGTGTTATACACAATCACAGATTTGTGCGGGCGCCAAACGCGGCCTTACACCAGGTTGTACTCCTTCAGGTTGGACTGCAAGATCGTGTCCTTCACCGCCGCGAACACGAATCGGATGTTCTCGGTGTCTGCAAGCACAATTCAAACATCACTCATGTTTCACTCACGTTTGCTTCCTAAGATAATTTGGGACCCATGTTAAATGAGGCAGTTATAGATTCTAAATTAGTCTAATTACAACCTTTTTTTTGTCGTCATCTGTCTCATTTACACACAGCGTAGGCACAATTTGACAGAAAGAGACGTGAGAGTCCTTTAGTAAAGAGTGAAATTAGACTTTGTTGTTTGTTAAGATTTTGCGCTGAAATCAGTTACATGCGAAGCATTAATTTAGAAATAAAAGATATTGTATGCAAAAAATAGATAAAATCCTTACCTTTGTTTCATGCACGAGTTGTTAGGGCAAATAAAAGAATATTAAAAAATACGCAATAAATATTTATTATTAAACACCTAACTAAACAACCACATCATGCCAAATTGAATTCTTTTAGCGCTGATTGCATAATTGTGTCCTTTACGGCACAGAACACTAACTTAATATTTTCAGTGTCTTTATAAATATCCAAAGCAGCATGCAAAATATAAAAAATAAATAGAAGTAAATAATATTCTACGAATGGCAGAAGAAAAATACATATAAACCATAATATATTAATGAATGTACTATCACAAAAAGATTATCACACTTACTAGATTTTGAAAAAAAAAAAGAACTTGGCTTACACCATCTTGTTAAACCGATTTAGATGAAACATACATTTAACATTTAAAATGAATAATTAAAAAGGACGTCGGCGCTTTATCAATACTAATGTTGGACATATAAAATACATACACACATACATATTTATATATAATATACACATACATACTCTATATACACACACAAAGCAAACTACTTCAATTTTAGCGCAAAATCTAAATAACAAACGACTTACCAACTGCACTGCACTTACGCAATCCTTGAATATTCAAAACGCACTAGAACTTATATTACTAAATCAAAATAAATCTTTTTAAAAGTATTTTGTTACTGTTAACAAACATAAAACAAAACTGTCAATGATAATAAATCTGTGATGAATATGTAATATTCCTTTAACTGAAAAACATTGTGTATAAGTATTCACATTACCATTATATAAAGACAAAATATAGAACATGATTTTATATAACCTTGAAGGAATCTTAAATATTACATAATATATATCAAGTTACAGCTTACAATGATAGTTCCAAAATTGACGGAAAAAATTGCCTACGTATTTTTATACTATCTTTGTTTGCACCTCTGTTATATTTCATGAAAAAATAAAAAACTTACCCGTCGCACAGGTGAAATGCGAATAAATAATTTTCTCAGCGTCGGGATTCAGATCGACGAACATTCGCAGAATAAACTCACGCGCAGTGCTGGCGTCGCGTTGCGGACCTAACAGTGCAACTAGCGTTAACTACGATCGTTTTCTAACCTTTAGTGACTTAAAAAAATTGTTCAAGTACTGTATAAAGCTCCAAAAAACCAACAATTATGACATATTGGAAAATCTCGACAAATAAAACTTCCTTAACGCGATTTTTGCATGTAAAATTGATTTGTAATTTTAGCGAAGCGACGAAACAGTACTTAAATAATTCTATTTAAGTTAATAATTCACCAGCGAAGATAAACTTAGCGAACAAACTTAATTGCTTAATCTAGCCAAGTTAACACGTACGTAAACTTAAAATATGTACGCGTACACATCATACTAGCGCACACGTCTAGCATACTACACGATATAAACCTGTGGCTGTGGTAAAATGCGAATAACACGTCCTGTCGGGGTCCGGGTTCTCTCTGAGGTATTTCTTAAGTATATACTCCCGCGCAGGGACCGGATCGCATTTCGGCCCTGATAAAGCCACTCATACAATTATTTATCTAAGATTTCATTTCCTAAATGAATTTTGTTATAAATACGTGATATTTTAAATAACATTTTCGTTTGTTATGTAAATGAATAAAATCAATGCACACGTGTTTTATACAAACCACAAACAAAAAATAGTGGCGCTACATTATTTTAGGTCTGGGCCTCTGATTTCTGTTTGTTTCGTGATCATTTTGCTTATAGGCAAGTAGGTGATCAGCCTTGTGTGCCTAACACATGCCGCCGACTTTCTGGCTCTAAGGCGTGTTGGAGGAAGGTGGATGTTTTGCTTCACCATACCAGCTAGTGTGAAGAACGCCCATAGAAAGTCCATAGGTATACGAGAGATGAGAGTCGTACGCTGAAGCCAGTAGGCAAACACTGCTCATCATATCAATTACTAGAGATGCCACGAATATTCGGCTACTATTCTGTATTCGGCCTATTCGGCCACTTTTTTTGGTATTCGGTATTCGGCCGAATAGGACTTATTTTCGACCGAATACCAAATCGTGGACAAAAATTACACATCGTAGGTGATGGTTTATTTTTATAATGAACTGACAAAGCGTGCCCTGACGTGCCTACTCGCAATAGAAACAAACAATCAAATGGCCGCACGCCACACGCCCGCCCGCGCTCGAGTGAGACAGGTCGCGACATGATTTTGCGTTCGACAAGCATGTACTTAGTGCCGAATGTTCGGCGGCTGATTATTCGGCGCTTCGGCCGATAGCGTTGCAGAACATTCGGTATTCGGCTAAATCACTATTCGTGGCAACTCTATCAATTACATCCACTGTAACACAGAGACGTGATGTATGTGTGTTGACCTAACTTGTGGGTCAAATAAATAATACAAACCTGATTGCTGAACCAAGTTTGATGTTTCAGTGTATAACTGGCTAATACTATTTTATCATCTCAAGCCAACAGATGGCGCTAAATGCAAAAAGGCCTATCGCTATTTTAATGACGAGTTATATCAGGATTTCATAATAGTTTAACCTCTGCATGTAATATCTAAAATGCCTGAAACATTACGGGGGACAATTATTGTAGATTCTCTGTAAAAAAACAATTGTAGTGACTGATTTTAAAAATACAATATTAATGAGCCCCTACCGTCGTATTCGGGGAAATAGTCGACGAGATGCGAATACATGATTTTTTCTTCGAGCAAATCTTTTTTGTTGAGGAACAAAATAACCGACGAGTGCTGGAACCAGGGATACGTGATGATCGTCTTGAACAATGCCTTTGATTCTTCCATTCGATTCTGAAATTGCATTGAAATGTGATTAAGTATTGATACTAATATACAATTATTATTATTATTATAGATTTGCGTCAAAAAATAAATAAATACGTAACACCTGGAACTATACGGTTCGATTAATGGAAACAATGATTTGAGTCAGATTGTATGGTTCTAACATCAATGAAGCAGAGATGTATAGCTATCGTAACAAGCGATTAATACAGTGTATGTATGTAATGAACTTATTTATGCCCAGATTTAAAACAGTACAGTAAAGTTTATTAATAAGTATAGCAAATGTACTTTCTATGGGAAAACTGCAAAAAAAAATTCTATAATTTTTAATAGAATTTTTTTTACTCACCTCATTTTCAGACTCGAATAAAATTTGATCGTATTCGCTAAGTGCTACTAAGAAAATGATGGATGTGACATTTTCGAAACAGTGAATCCACTTCCTTCTCTCGGATCTTTGTCCGCCGACGTCCACCATTCTATACATAAAATTATTATTATCACAAAATCTACAAAAATCAAGATTTCCTCATACTAGAAAACTCGCTGATGTTTGGCTAATAACTGTCATTTTTGGGTTCTTAAGACTGAATGACCCGAGTTCAGTATCGTATCACAAGCCACAATTTAATTTTGAGGCCTCCAAGTAAAAATTAGTTAACAGTAGCTTTACTATATTTCTCAAAATATAAATTCTACGAAAAATTCCTTAGTTAAAAAGTTTGCCAAAAAAATGTCAGTAGATTGAAAACTAAATCAATTTATATCTTGTATCACCAAACAAATATAAAAATTACCCATTTTTACTTACTATATATAGATTTTACATAAAACTCGTATAAAGAATCGCACATATGTTATTGTTAACTTACAACTAGCATTAGCAATACACAAAGCAGAGAAATACAAAAAAATCCTACCTAACCAATCTCTATAGCTTGTGCTTTTTTTTAATTTTAATAGTTCATGTGTCCATACTACGACTGGAACTTTCCCTCTATATCAACTTCACAAACTTTCTTGTACAGTGAAGTGTAATATAGTTAGGAAAACCGGCATTTCTTTAAATATCAAAATCAACGGCTTATTAAATAGAAAATGTTCTAAAGATACAAAGATCTGAGGCCAAGACTTGTACAAGATTGTAGCGGTTTCAGGTTTTTTTTAGTTTATAGCCCTTAAAACAGTAAAGAAGTTATAGAGACTGGTATCAATATTAGTAAAGCAACGTTAATAAAGCGTAGATTAGCGTAAAAGCAACTACTGGGATCACATTACCTTTTACGCCTCGTTTGTGGGTATCTTAATATATATATTTCTTGTGTGCGTGTGTATGTGACTGAACTCCTCCTAAACGACTGGACCGATTTTGATGAAATTTTTTGTGTGTGTTCAAGGGGATCTGGGAATGGTTTAGATTCACAAATCAGCCCGGCAGATGGCACTGCAGTCGGTACTTTCATACTTTGCTTAATATCCAAATCGCTTTAAATATCATGCAGGACAACGTCTGTGGGGTCCACTAGTATTATATATAAAGAGTAATAAACAATATCTCGACAGCGAACAGTTATTGATAAGTACGTAAATTTTATACAACAGATACAGAAATCTGAGGCCCCGACCTAAAAAGGTTGTAATGCCACTGATTTATTTTACGTAAATTTTGTTGAGGGAAATCAAATAGCATAGAAGCAAAATGTTTGCCATATCGGTGCGTGTCCTAGTTGAAGCGTTAGAATTTTACACCCTTATACCACAATAATTAGATATTGAAAATAAACGGGTGCAACTCTGTTTATTTTTGGAAATTATGAGATTTACGGAGCCAATTTTGGGGCTTAAACATCTTAACCTTTTTGCGTTATGCCGACGCATCAGTGCGACATAGATTAGGTACGAAACTCATTACAGATTTTTTAGAACTGGATGGTTAGAAGAAAGATTTAGGAGATCAAGTATTAGTAGTAATAAATAAAAATTACTTTATAATGTTACATGTGATACTATAAACAAATCGGCCAAACTCCGAATGGTATTTGATTTTATAAAATAATGAATTCTACTATCGGGCCACGACATACATATATTTAAATATTTTACGTTTTAAATTATAACTCTCGGGAAATTGCGTTAAAACCTGCCAACTTGCAACCGTGCTTCAACTTAACGTTACCTGTTAAAGCACCACCGCGATTTTTTAATAATGTATTCTTGTTATTATACAGTTATTAACAATATTATTCACATATTATATGATTATAATACCTAAAGCAGTGTGTTTCCCTTTTTACAGTCAATCTTTGGACGCAGGAGAGTAGCGAATCATCGTCGATAAATTCAGTAAACCAGGGACTAATGAAATCATTGAAGATCATAAAATTATTACAATGTTCTCAAAATTTAATAGAACAGGCAGATTTGGCGAAGAAATTATTTTTTTATGAACTAATTATGAAATCAAGAAGGCCGAAATGATTTTTGTAAGTTTACACTTGTAAAAATTGTTACAAGAAAGTCCCATGCTTCAATATGGGAATAACGGGACTTTATTACTCTAGTACCACATCAAATAAACTGTTAATAATTACCTATCTTTGCTGTGGAGCCAAGTTTAATAATACGAAGCCATGATAATACGGAAAATGCTATGCTATATGTAGTATATGGCGTATTTAATAAAAATTCGATTAGTTTTATAAATGTGTACACAGTAAATTAAAACAAACATATTCGAACTAAAGTATCAAAGTTTCTCTTCACCAAATATGCCTGATTCGCAAACTTACAATAGAAAGCGCGATATTATCACAAAGCAAATTTTGAAGGCTTAAGCATTACTTGTGCTATTAAGCAATAAGCTATGATCTTATAAAATGATTTCACTAGATAGTTTTTTATACATACTTTGTATCAAAATTTCTAATAGCCCTGCCACGGATCCATACAGTAACTTATTGTAAACCGCGAATTTAGTAAATCCCAGGATTAGAATTAAATTCTTAATATTTAAATATTTTCACGTGCAATGACCATTTAATAGGCAAAATAGTTTAATAAAATTACACAATCAAAGTTATTTAATATTTTCGTTCGAGAACAGTAAAAAAACACTGTAATTTAATTAAATATTTTAGAATGGCAATTTTCTTAATTTACATATAAGTTTTGCTTTTTTGACATCATTAAAGCACCTAAACATCAAGTAAAAAAATAGAAGTCACCTATAAACAACACTAGGGAATTGTCAAATATCATCTATTGGTGCAATAATACCAGAAACATTTAACTTTTTTATAACAAAGTTTATAGCCGATTCAGTCGCTCCCATTGGCAAGGACACGTATACAAAGGATATTTGTTTTTTTTTCTACAGCGAATAGAGAATCAGATTCGTCTGTGAATTTGTAAACAACATTCTATAATATTGATACATGATACACAAATATATGGCATCAAATGAGTATCTTCGGAAGACAATCTACCACTTAGACAAATTTAACTACTAACGAGCAGTACGTATATAGAAATGGCATGTTTTACGTACATAAGAATATAATTGTATTTAAGATTACCGCGTCACACGAGGTCCGTATCCGACCTTGCCTACAATAAGCTGATTACATTATTGTAAGGTTTCCAAAACCTATTATGAAATCTTTAGCCAACTAATCAAAACGTGCAAGCTACGGTCCAAACGTACCTAAATATAATGCCGTCTAGATCGAAAGGATATTCAAGAATGCCTGTAGTCGGCTGTCGAGCTCGGAGAATGTCCTGCTCCGTGGGTAGAAAATCGTCTTTTTCGATTCTCTCCAGATCACTTAAATAGCTGTAAATTCATGCAACATCTAAAGCACATGCACGCGATGCCCCATACCCGTAGAAGAGATCCGATCATGCATTAGTTTGCCACCATTTTACCTAAATCGTATCTCTTCCAAGTCAAACGGGTATTCGATGATGCCCGTAGTAGGCACTCTGACGCGCAGAATGTCTTGTTCGGTCGGTAAGTAGTTTGGTGCCGCGACACGATCAATCTCCTGCAAGTAGCTATAGAAAAACGGTCCCTTACATACGGAATCATAAACATTTCTGTTCTCACTTTGGGAATCGAACCCATGGACATTTTATAATCTAAATAAGCATCCTGTAATGTAAAAAAATACCTCTCTGAGGTATTCTAGTTAATTTGAAGATTTAAGTAAGCCTTACGGCTAATTTAATCACCTTGGGAATCGAACTTTTATTGCTAAGATTTTTGTGTGATTATTTGGATGAATATTAGAAGAAATTACGTGGGCATATACATAATACCTAATGCTTGTATTTATTATGAAAGAAAATACTGATGTCATGATGATAATTGATACATTTACAGACTTTAATCATAGTTTATGTTCGCTAGACAATTGATGTTTGTTATTTTAAACAATCGTGTAAACGTATAAAAATGGTATTGTCATACATATTTGTAGGTCTTGAAACAGTACAGTAATTAAAAACATAATTCTATTAGTTAAAACACTAAATCACAAATAATGTCTTTTAATTATGATAATCGATATTTTCCTACGTTTGAATAAAAAACTTAGAATCTAGTTCATGTGTAATGAAGTGATTTTATGAATACGTAATTTTATTTCACTTACTATTTGGCTGAATCGGTGAGCTGGTACTCCCGCCTGCGATCGTAGCACTCCTGAATACCGGAGTCGGCCCAGAGTCCCTTGATGGCCTCGACGTAGGGACTCTCGAATGTTGTCACGCTCTCAAAGTCGATCGCCGATATCAACTCCGCCTGTTCCTGGAAAATTTTGATGGTACTGTTAAAATCAGGTCTTTTAGTTTGACATTTGTCTGCAAGGTAAAGCTTCTATATAGCAGTACAAGAATATATTAATCTTATAGTGACCCTGAAATCCTAGGGTCGAATGTCCAGTAAAAATTTACTAATTTTAAAGTCGGAAATAATTCGTCTAAGAAAAAAGGGTCAGGAAATAGTCATTAAGGAACGAACTAACGGCAATGCAAATCAAGACCTTACATGTAAAAATCAGTATTATCAATCGTCTAAAATATAAATAAATTCGTCAACAGTAAAATTTGGGACATTATTTACGTGTCTCTTACATTGCTAATTTTTCATTATAGGCAAATAAATCAACCTAAGCTAAATAACCTCATCGCCCAACATATGCACTGTACAAACTACGAACGAAGGCGGTATAACATTCAGATATGGTTTTTATTTGAAAATGCAAATATATTCTGTCCTATTATTGCTAACAAATTAGATAATAATTATAAGCTCGCTGATTGCTATAAATTTTAACGTAAAAAACCTGCGTTAGTAGTAATTTTATATTTTAAAATTTAACCGAAGTTTTAGAAAATTAACGTCTACGATTATTATTACATTAGAGACTTACACGTGTCTGTGGGAAGTAATTATAATAAAAACAGTTAAATAATTAAATTGTAAAAGTATATAATCAAGACTGGTAATTAAGAACTAGTATTAATAGTACACAGGTCATACACTCATTTCGTTTCGTTTCGTCAAGCGTTATATATTTTAATAATAAACATACACATGTACTGTCAAATCAAATATGTAGCTTTAAAACTATTTTGTCCTTATTACTCTCGTATAAATTTGAAATTAAATGAACGTGTCTGATTGAGACAGTTTTATTATAATAAATTTGATGTTTGAGCTGCTGATTAAGGATTATAAGCGATACACGTAATTTGGGCTGTGTTAAGTATTTATTTTAACACCATATATCATTTACACAAGCGCGAAAGAGCGTAGAGTGGGATTTCCTCAAGGTTGTCTATTAGCAATTTGTTGACTTGGATAGCTTTATCATTTCCGTACTTAACCAAAATCGGACCACAAAAACCTTATCAATTATTATTGCAATTTGCCTTATTGTCTACTATTACTGTTTAAATGCCTCACAGCCTTTTTATTTATAACGCGAGTAGTACACATTGAAATGAAACTCTCGCCGACCATGTATGCCGAAAAGTACCCGAAACGCGTGAAAGTTATTTAAATAGATTAATTTTGTATTTTTCTAATTAAGCAATTTTAAATCTTTACCGTTTTTTTTGTCGTACTAAAATTCGATTTATCATGTGACAATCGGTGGCGTTGCTGCTAGAATGTTGTAAATTTAATAAATTTGTGACCTACCTTCGCCTGTTTTAATGACAGTAATGAAAAGTATGGATACTGCTAGGTACTTTATACGATTTATAGGAGTCTATGCAATAATAGTGAGATCGACATCTAAAATGTCATATCTAATTAAATCATATTATTTCCAATTTGATACTTTTATTCTTTAAACAAACACTGACCTGTATGTCCACAGATAATATATTCACAATAATTTTATATTAAATGTTATTATGACTTTTCGCAGTAAGAACAATTAAGCGTTTGTCATGCGTGCGCAATTGTTTGAACAGGCAGAATTATACAAAAATAAAACAGACGCAAAAGACGCCTTTCTGGGCTTCTTTTTTTAAAATATAGAATAAAAGCATTAAGCATAGATTATTAAACATAAGACACAGATGTACTGTAGCGAGTCGCATTCTTTAGATGACATTATTATGTAGTTATCTATGAAAAATTCTTACGAGTTACATATCATTCGTCCTCGTATATCATTCCTATCTTCGTATCTATATAATTCTGAGAATTATCTCAATTTTTACCTCGCGTTTAGTAAAACATTTCGTAAGAGGTGAAAGATAGCGCGGTATCTCGTCATGTTCCATGAATATCCTATTGCAAGTTTAAAATTATTATTATTATGGTATTAATAATGATCAAAATTTCTATCAAGTTTGTTGATAATATATATTTTTATCAGGAAATGTTGTTATATTTAAATTATGGCTAAAGATTTTGTATATGTACAAAAATGAGTTGTCATAATATGGTCTTCCTATCTCATTATAATTTTTTAAAGGTTATATACATACACATATATATATAAAACATCGATTGGTTTAAATTTTCTCAATCCAATCAATAAACTGTGGTTTTTTTATCAAAAACTTTTACTAGAATGTCTCTATAAGCTATTCAACCCCGGTGAACCCCCCAAGTAACACAGATAAAAACAGCCATGTTTAGAATTTTTAGATATATTCACACACAAATATTTAAAATGTTCTTGTATGATATTCTAATCTTATAAGTCCGCAATAAATTCAATAAGGCGTACTACTACGAAGAAGTACTGGAGAAGAGACTCTACAAGTTTGCAGGAGGACTTTTAAAGAGAATATACTGAAGAACATTTTTATTAAACATCGAATTTATATTACCTACTAATTATTATAATCCTCTACATTATATTGACAATTTATTTTTGGTTGTTGTATTTCTATTTTAATTTTATTCTTTGATTATTTTAATATTTATAGTATGTTCTTTTTGAAACATTAATTATGTGTAATCATTATTAAACGATATTGTGTGGCGAAATGGTAATGAGAATAGATAGGCAGATTTATCCTGTCTATATTTAATACAAGATTATTTTCTATTTATAGTTACTGGGTGCAAGGATTTTAGTCTGCTTTATTTAACGGCTGAGTAGATTTTTTTCTTAGAACATTATACGAAGTGGTGAGTTTTACACTGCTCGTTTAATAACGTATACTTTGAATACAAAAACAGCACATCCTTTATTCAAACAATATCCATTAAAAAATCTGTATATTTGTTTAGCAAATAATTAGAATGGAATAAATTTTTCTCCAAATCCCGTTTTCTAATATGTATATATCGCCATTATGTGTCAAGCAATAATGACGATTAACTTCGTACATTAAATAGTAAATTATGATTTCATGCTCTTAGCAAAACAATCTATTGGATAACTTAAATAACCAACCATTCTACAACTGTATTAGGTGCAATTTGTTAAGTCAACTCTTATAAGTAAAGCCAAGCCTTACTTAAAATATATTAAGTTATTCATTCTTTTTCTAAATACATTGTATTGAAAATTTTACTTACTCCATTGGACGGATTTCCATATGATATTTTGAGAAGATCCATGGCACGTATCATACTCTGCATGGCCATGAAGATGTTCTGGTAGACAAGTTTGATGAAGCCACGCTTGTCTTCGTCGCTGTAACCCGAGCCATGGATGATTCTCATCTGCTTGATGAATGTGGACTTGCCCGACTCGCCAGTACCTGGTCACAATGTTTGATCAAAATATATCAAAGTATAGATATAACAGAACACAGAAGTAGTGAGGTATGGAGTAAACACATAGTGTCTATGGGATTGCAATTTTTTAAATCCATGCATACATACTATTCAGGACTTGATTTTTGAACACTGAGTGTGACCAATTGTAATTTAGGGGTTTTAATATACAATATTAAACATTTATCATTACAAAATCAAGTAAACTGCCTCATATTTATGGTATATCTGCTTTAAGACAGTTAAAGATTTTGAAACAGTTTAAGCCATTTATTGATAAAAGACCCTGTAGTTTACAAAAGCACTGATTTACCGTCATCACAGCAAAAAAAATTGACAAAACGTGACTAAATAGGATGTTAGTTAAAACTGCACAATTGATTTAGTTTCTTTGAATGAGAGGTTAATACTCGTGTTGTATTTTGCAAAGGATATATTATGAAAGTATAAAGCAGTGCTAGCCTACTACTGTTCTATGTTTAAACCCTAACTGTGCATAGTGATTTTTCTAAAGTTCACAGGAACTCTACATCATACAGTGAAAATAGACTGTAATATATAACATAAAAGAAATATATGTTTGGATATGTTTTGTTCAGCTGTCTCCTATTTCTAACTCAGAACAATTTTGTTATGCCTTAACATGAACTCAGCGTATGCTTAGAATAAGTCAACTTTGGAATTTATATTTTTAGAAAGATATGTATTCCAAAATTAAATTCCAGAGAACATTTTATTCATATACTTATTAATTAAATTAACCTCATATTATTAATATACTTATAATCTTATAGAATGTTTTACATAGGTAATTTAGCTATATAGACGTATACTAACTGAAATGACATGACAAATAGCTAGATTATATTTGATATTATTGTATTGAACAATAGATCTTGAGCAGCTAGATAGAAATACCTTGTGGAAACCAAAAACATTATATGTATCTGTATAAATGAATGTTACTCTGTTTTTAAAAATTTATCTCATGTAGATGATGTTTTTGTATTTGAAATACCTAACTAAAATTTTCAGTAATTCATAAATTATTTAATTAAGTTTGGATAAAACCAAATGTAGTCATTTGTATGATTATAAAAGACGTAGATAATATACTAAGCTTCGAAAACATAATATACATTAATGTTTAATATTCAAAATTATAATGAAATTCAACAAAAAATAACCTTCAGAACTGGCTGTTTTAAAACTTTTTAAACTATAATTTTCCTAGGTAATCTAAATACTTCCCATATTAGATGTCATGAAATATGGATCTCAGCATTATTAGCTCAATTACTGAATGAATAAAAAAAATATATTTTAGTCTACCACATTCCTTTAATGATTAGAATTTTCATTTATACTAAATATTTTATTAAATTAATATTCATATAAGTTCAAAATTAACACCAAACATTAAAACTAACTAACAGATAAGATAATATATTTCTTATTTGAAATCATATTGCATTACTTTTTACTGGTTATCATACTATTATCAAAGCTAAAGAGAAAACATATAGATATGTACAATACATTCCTAGTGACAATGGATAATTAACTGATAAAATACATATTGGAAAAGCATGCAAAGATCGTAATAGAATTTTACATAAAGATTAAACAGTTTAAAGGACCTTTCTATTTTTTGCAAGAAATTAGTAAGACATGGAGAGACCCTGATATATGAAAAGGAACAGAAAATTCTTAACAAGCAATTAATGATGACAACTCAAATCTGAAATGTAGCTTATCTCATATACTAATTAAATCTATATTGATATTTAAAGGGTTTTGCTAGTAACAAATTAGCAATAACTGAAATAAAGAAAATCTTTTATGATCCCCATTTCTATATCCTTATTAACCGCAAACAATGAATCATTTACAGAAGGAAACCTATATGTATTATATTGTTGTATACCTATTCAATCTATATGCACTAATTATTAAGGTTAAGAGAAAAGATCTTAGTTTCCTACACATTTCCTAGAAATATCAATTAATTATCAGTCATTGTAAGAAGTAATTGCTATAATTTAATATTTACCTATAGTCATTATTAAAATATCTAATAGAGGAAGAATGAGGCTACCAATATAATTTGATATTTTAAACTATTAACTGAGGTTTTATTTACCTTTATTTATAAGATTCTTTTTAATTAATAAAAAATTTGGGAGATGACTCACCCAGGAGAAGCAATTTGAGTTCTCTCCTTGCATCGCGTTTGTCCTTTCGGAGTTGCCGCTCTATTTCCTGATTGATTCTTTTCTGTTCTTTGGCCTCTTCTGACATGCAGCACTCCATGTTTCCTCTGGGCGGAGGGCCGCACACCGTCCTCGCGCGTGGAGCCGTGTCCTTTCGGCAGGCCTATCAACCGAGGCACACCACTCCTAGAAACGACATATCAATTCACTGCATACATCACCAAACGTTTCGATATAAGTTCACGAACGTTCACAAAATCACACACCGACTCGATAGCGCGTGAACAATCATCCGAACTAGAAACCAATAAATACTAAAACCGACAATCCGGTCACTGGGTGTGGTGACTTATGATCGGTCATATACATATACGCTTCTGTCAACTGCCGACATAAACACTTCGAAATCCGTTTATATACGACCGTGGAACCTTGTGAAGCATTCGTTTAATCTTATTAATGTAACTAGATTCAAGAAACCTATAGCTATTCCCCGCACGTGTGTAATAATATAATTAAAACTGTGAGCAAACAGCGGATTGATGGTAATCTACTGATAACTAGAACGGCCTATGTCTCCTGTCTAGGTTACGATATCATTTGTTAACATCAGTTCACGCGCTTAATTTCTTATAAGATCCATTTTCTTTCACATTACGTACCCAAATATATATCCATAGGGCACGATCAAGTCTTTCACTTCAACTTATTGCACTAACCACAATTTTTATCACTGAAATCGTAAAACGTCCGCCTCTCTCAATATGGCGCTGGGAGATTTTGGGTAATGGAACTAGTGCGCGTGCGTCGTGCCAGTTTTAACAAATAAATTAAAATTATGCTTTTAAAGATTATAAATCAATAAAACAACATAAAATTGAGTGTAATGTATGATTTTATAGTGCGTAAATTATGTGTAAAAATCTGGCATCAAGTTTTTAATTTTCATATTCATGGTTTTATTTGACTATTGACAATATTGACAGCTGACACTTTAGTTGCGGACGCTTGCATCGATGTCAATTATCATTTCAGTAAGTTGTTGAATGAATGAGTACGGAGATTTATGAATTTACAATGGACATTCAAATTTCAATCGCGAATCATGTTTCAATAACCATAACTAGATTGAAGTCTAGAAAAAGCGAATTGCCACTGTGCACAAGCGTAGTAATTCGTGTGACAGGGAATGTATATTTTGTTAAAATGTTTTATATCTTGTTAGATTTTAGTCTCTAGATCTAGATATCTAGTTTTCTAGATCTTTTATGAAAATATGATTTTTTTATAAACAAATTATTCATGCGGCTAACACGTTATAGGTTGGTAACTTTCGTGATTGGTAATAATTATTTGATTATTATAACGTGTGTCGATTACCTCTGTGGTGTAGTGGTTCTTGTGACGCTCATGACAAATAATCCGAAGGTTTAGAATTTGATTACCGGAATTTTAAAAACTTGTTTCGAGTAAATGGCAATGAATTTATAGACTACATCGTAGGTTAATCACCCATTGTAATAGATCACTCAAGAAACAGACACATAATGTGTAAGCCTTTATATACCTCTCTATAGGGTGTTACAGAACTTCAAAATAAGTACATAGTTACTAGTAGTTAGCCTTTCTTAAATTCTTATGGCCCGTATGTAACATACATAATAATTTTTAATATTCAAAAATTGAGAAACATAAATTATAGGTTTTAGGAAGAAACCACTAGGAAATTATTAACAAAACACAGTTGACTGAGTTGATTGTGAACAACAAGTTTTCGTATATTAATTAATTATTATTTTAATTTAGTGAGATCCTTGCGCTTGATGCTTGCTGCTCAGAGATTTTATATTAGGTTCCAATTTGGTTAGCTTTAGTCTTAAGTCTCCACGTTGTGTTCAATAATTTACAGCACTACATCCATATTCAGCTAAAATGAAGATGGAAACGGTAGCAATAGATTCCTTGCACATTTATTTAATTTGAGTATATGATTTCTCTTTCTTACAAAGTAAAAAGGGCTCCTTTTATATTATATAAAGTGTTAACTGACTTTTTGTAGTTAATATGTTTCTGACATATTTAAATATAATTCATACATATAATCATTAAATTTGGCACAAGGGTAAAATTCGTGTCGAGTCCATTTTCGAATTACCCTCCTGTGGGGCGTGGCCCCACATTGGGAAACAATGTTCTAAATTCAGATGAAAAACTCAGTTTTCGAAACATTTTTTTATTAACACATTAAAAAAAACTTATAACTAGAAATTATACTGATTCATAATTTTAATTTGTGATGTATTTTTGGTATTTCTTAGGGTTTTACATTATAATACAGTTACCTAAGAATGTCTAACTAATCACAGTTATAATTAAAAAAGCCAATCCTTTCAAGCTTCCTATATTCATTACTACTAGTATTGATTGAGTCCGATTCACTAACATCACGATAATATTTTTTCTAACATTATTATTAGTTTTGAATTTATTAACACAAGACTTTTAATATCACAATGCTCTTTTGTGCATTAAAAGGAAATTCAATACTAAGTGATGTCAAATTGTTTTCTTTTTTTGAAGAGTTTATGGCCTGGTAACTGTCAAATTGTACTGGCATGCCATAAATTATTCATTATAATAAAAGTAAGTCGTAAAGAGACGCCTAGCGCATAGAAAACTATATAGGGCCTTAGTATCATTTTCTAATCAAATTTAGACTTAATTCATGCAGTCTTAACACTTTCGAAAACTTCTTTATTCGGCGGGACCCAGCCACCAAAGGCCTTCTCAAATTCTTTCGCCACTGCAATAGTGAGGTGGTCGTTACACCTATTTGAAACTATCTGCATTCCCACTGGTAACCCATTATCGGTTAATCCAAGTGGACAATTGGTAGATGGTAACCCCAGCGCATTGAATATCGTCAAATATCCACAGTCCAAGAATTTATAGAATATTCTGTAGTGTAGATGCGCCGGATTCGGGTACGTCGGGAAAAAGAGCACAGCGTTGTCTGACAGCGCTTTCTGTGGAGAATACATATTTTATTAATGTCAAATTAATGAGTCATTAAAATATTTATGAATTAGTTTTCAATGTCAATTATATATAAGTACCTATATTTTACATAATTATGTATAATCAAAAACATAAAAAAAACGTATAATAAAACATCCGTCCGAATATTTGCTATTTAACTTTTGTCGTTGAGTAGTAGTCTTGATCCATTTTATTTTTAATTTATGTATTTGTTTAAAGCTCGATTCGATAACGATGTATTGCGGTTTGGAATCTTATAGACGCTTACTTGCTTTTTCCCGCGAAAACCTTATTAAGTATGAAACGTGTGAGGAATTAATAAATAATAATTTTTAAATCACCGCAGGCAAAGGAAAAAGCCAATACGTAACGAAACAAAATACACTTACTGCTATATCCCTTTTAATTTGTTCAAATATTGACAGCAACTTCTTATAGTACCTATCTGGTAGACTGTCAAAGAATTTCTGAGCCGGCCCATAGGCGACACACGTCAAATTATGGTCAGACATTCCTAAGAACTTTTTCAATACTACAGGCCACATTGATATTAACTGCTCTCTCTCTTTTGGGTCAGTGTAAATATTTCTAACGTGTTTGATTTTAAACAAAACTCTGACACTTATCTCCCACATGTGATGTATATTCTCGATTTGGAGCTGAAAAATATATTAATTAAAGTCAAAAAATAATTTTTACAACCGCAGAAAAGCTGAGCGCGTTGATGTCTTATACAGATGCAATTTTAACAACTTATAAGTTTTACACTTCATCTAATTATGTAGACATTTAAGAAGTTAAGAAGTTTTAACAAAAGGAGTTTTTATTTATCTCTTTTTATCAAAGGATGCTTACGCTGTGATAAAGAGAAACTAATAATCGCTCGTACGGTGAAGGAATACGTCCTGAGGAAATCGGCATGCTTAAAGCCAAAAAGTCGACGGCGTGTGTCAGGCACAGAAGTGTGATCACCTATTTGTCTATTAGAAAAACAATCACGAAATAGTTACACAAATCTGACGCCAAGGCGAAGATTGTAGCACCACTGACTTTGATTTAGCTAAAACAGTGTAATAAGAATCATTTAAGGGCTTTGTATTTTTTACGATAAACCCCGCGAACTTCGCTTAACCATAATATGATTTTTTTATTTAGCTTTCCTTTTTAGTACCAACACATGGAACATTTTGCTATGCTACGTCATAGAGACTACGCTTTTCCGTGATAAAAACCAAAAGTATAAACTTTATTGATTACTAATATTTTTCCAATAGAAAGATAAACCTCCATATGAATCTTCCTCAGAAATAAAAAAGTTAACTGTCGAATTGGTTATTTAGAATATTTTGCGCTTAGCAACATATTTTGCGATTCTTTTTTGTTTATATAGATATACTCCACTCTTTATATTTCTAATAAAAATTTGTTTGAAACCTTGATAGTATGTATTTAATTACAAACGCAATCTTCAATCAATAAAACTAATTATCATGCAATTAAGGTTGAATCATTAAAGCCGTAGTATTTTTACCTTTTGAACGTCTAAATTGTAAGTACTGTTAATATAGGCTTTTGCTTTGTCCATAGCTTTTCGTACATCTGGTCCTATTTTATTTAGTACATAGCCACCATCCCCCTCCATGTAATAGTATTTCAATCGTGTCAGGTCTACCTGTAATAGACACAATATTATTATTTTAAAATTCTACATGTATAATAAAGTAAAAGAAAATAGTTATTTTACATAACGTGAAATTGTCAAACAGTGTGTAAGACTCGGATAAACCAAGTTATTATATTTAAATATGGTAATTTACTGGATAAAAATAAGTAGAGAAAATCTCTGTCATACAGTTAAATTATTTCTTTTAAATAACATGGATAAAAAAATCCATTTTATTTTATATTAGACATAGTTACTGGATAAAAATAAAATAATCTATGTCATAAATCGTGTGTATGTGGCGAATTATGCATTAATAAACATACCGGTTTTTCCAAAGGTACTTCAGGGCCGGTCGGTTGCCTCAATACTTTGAGTAATAGCGTCAAATCCTCAGCATATCTGGTTATAGGGCCGAGTGTGAAGTATTCATCAAAATCAGGATCCAGGCAATCTGGTACATGACCTACAAGGCAGTGAAACTATGAATTATATAATTTAAAAAAAATGTATCCTTCATAAGTTTTACACTTCTTGTACTAGAAATTCTTGTGTAAAGTGTAATAAAATAACTCTAAAATTTTTAAATAGTAGATTGAAATTAATAAGTTAATGATGTCAATCTAATAGATCCATTTGTCTCTGATTTTGATAAAGTCGAAATTATATTTTCCTGAAACTTATAGAACATGCTTAATATAAACATTGTTTAAACGCTTACCTTCACTAGATAAAAGCCTGGGGGTAGGCTTATGTCCAAATATCCCATTGAACATAGGAGGAAGTCGCAATGAACCAGCAATATCCGAACCCACACCGATCACCGACGCAGCAGCTGCTATGAGCACCGACTGGAAATAAAACCCAAACTTTTGCAATACTTCAGTCTTAAATAAAAGTATAATAAGTGCTTCAACGCATCGTAAAGCATTTTCATATTTGTTACTAGGAGGCTAGATTCGGCTTCGATGCTTACGAAACTACTTTTGTTATTATGTAAATCAAAACATAAACAATCCACTAATTTATTTTCTATATTGGCTAAGCAAGTCTTTTGAAATAGATTATAATATATTTGTAAAGACTATACAAACTTATTGGATCAAAATCCGCGATCTAATTCCATCATTATCTAAATTAAAGTTAGGCTAAAGACGTAAATATAAATTATGTATACTGTATTGACGCGTTATATATTTGCGTGTATTGTATATAATACAAATGTAAAATGTTTTGTCTTAAATTTTTTCATTCTAGCCAAGGAGAAAAAAGCTGTAGAGATAGGGTTTAGGCAGTAGGGATTAATTTCTAAATCTATCAAATTCTAATTTTGTTCAAATGAAGCTGAAAAAGGAGGATTAGTTTTCCTACAAGTTCTGCATATGATAGGGTCTCTATGTTGCAAAAAAAAAAAAATATACCTCGCCGCCTGAAGAGCCGCCCGCGGTTCGCTTCTGGTCATAAGGGTTCATTGTAAGTCCTGTGACGTTGTTATAAGTCTCCCAATTCATGCACAATTGTGGAGCATTAGTCACAGCTATAGGTATGGCCCCGGCTGCTCTCGCTAGGCGTACAATCTCAGCGTCCTTTGTGGCCGGCTTTCGATAGGGGTAGACTGTACCCGAGTCATTGCTCATTCCTAGAAATCCGTATACATGTACTTTATTAGATAGAAATATGGTGTTTACAACAAAGTGGAATTATACTATTAAAAGTAAAATAGCTTATTTATTTTCTTGTTTTATATTAATATATGGAAAAAAAGCCTAGTGACACCTAAATGGGACAAGACTTGCTCATGTCTAATTCAAAATATAATTCGACACATGTTTTGCGAAATCGCCCTCGAGTGTTGACTGATTGAGACTGTAGAAGTTAAAAATACTTTAGCCCGCTTTCAAACATATTGATAATGCTGATAATGACAATGATGAAAGTTAAAACATGGAAGGAAGTAAATAGACAATAGGCGTATAATGGAACGTATCTACATTAAGAATTTAATTTACACGAGCCTAGAAATCTCCATGCTGGGACCGGTATTCAATAGTGGAACAACTTTCTCTGTTACCTTTATAATAAATAATACCATTGACTGAATATTTATAATTTAATAAATTCTTTGACTACGATATATTAAACTGAACACTATAACTATCTATAACAGTCCGGTTTCTTCTAAATTATTTCTTTCACCGTTGTAGCAAGTGTTTAAAGAATATTTTTTACTCTTACAAAAAAATACGAAAAGCGATTTTAGGCCATTTTATTCCAATTATTAAATACAAGTGTGGACATAACAGAACTTTTGACTATAGTTTTAGAATCCTTACCTTCCACAGCAATACTTTCTTTCACTGTCATAGGGACGCCTAGTAATGGGAATTCCTTTTCAAGCATTTCTGTAGAACGATCGTTTGAGCTGATCATCTTATCTATGGACTTTGCTTCTCTTATGGCTATCTCATATCGAGGTTCCACAATAGCGTTTAGGTACGGATTCACTTCTTTACACCTTTCTACGTAGGCTCGTACGACGTCTTCTGAAGTTATCTGTAATGAAAACGAATTTTTTTAAGTAAATTGTTATTCTAATATATTTTATTTAACGGTTATATATATAAATATGGACGTAACTTATAGTAATAGGTAAATGTTATGTGATTGCAATTTTACGTAAAGCGTGCCAATGCGCACGCGCTGGTACTTCGTAATAGAGTTACTTCCGCCCGTATACTTTATAATTTACGATTTCTCTCGCATTGTATTTCGTTTATTCAATGCATTTTAGGTGTTTTATAAATTGTTTTTAGTATTTGTCTGAAGAGCTTGCTTGTTACGTATTATAAATGGCATGTAAACCTGTCATAAAATTATCAATCACTTATTATAAATCTTATTGCGAGTTGCTTGTGACTCGTGCGTATTTTTTACGAATATTCATCTGATTAAACACTAAAAACAAAACTGTTGATGAATGGTTGTAGCCATTAGTTGCGTAGTAATATAACAATTCAAAAACATAATATTAACAAAAAATAAATCAGGTCTTAATGTCACACTGCATCTGTTTTTTTGATTATTTTTAGACACATGCCGGCTTTCTCACGGAATTTTTCACCGTACAACTAAGTGCACAGTCGGGAGACCAGAATTTAGGGTCGCTCTCTTAAAGCACTAGGCCAGGCCATCTCTGCTCTAAGGAAAAAACAGAGTGTAAGAGTACCGTATGCCCAAAACGTACTGGATTTTGTCACGGAGAGAGAGTTTTCTGGAGTCATAGTTCTAGTGGAACTATAACTATAAGAACTGTTTTCAGTAGAACACCACTTTTTATCACTTATTAATAGATATATTAATTAGATTAATTAGTAATAATAATCCAGTGGCAACCCTAAATGGTTCTAGGCTTCAGATTGCATTCGTTTTTATTTAATAGACAAGTAGGTGTTCCTTCTGTGTCTGACACACGTCATCGATTTCTGGTTGTAGACGTGCTGTAGGACCAAATGCTAATTGTGCAGATAGAAAAAAAATCCATTAGTGCACAGCCGTCATAAGACTCCTCAATTAGTAATTACCACAATATTCATTTTTTATTTCATTACCTGTTTGTTTCTTATCATCATCGCCAGAGTGGTAGCTGATTTGAAAAGTATAGGGTTCCTTGGCGGTGGGCATTTTCTATTTCTTCTCAAATTTAACAAGTACGTCAAAGGGTAGACTATTATCGCCAATAGAGAAACGAGGAACCGCAGAAGCCACTGCATCAATGGGTTCATCATGATTGTCTGAAAGAAAACAAATAATTTAATAGCAATACGATCCAAATTTGCTTAGATAAATTTATTTGGGTAAATAATTGGAACCTTGATTTTAAAAATGCAATTAATCTTGATACTACTTTCTTAATACTTATTTATTTCGTAATTCTAGAGCTTACAGAGATTGTAAATAACAAAAAACAATTCTACCTAAGATTTATGCCTAAGATGCCATAATATGTACAAAAAGATTCAAACAAAAGGAATTTTTTTTTATTAAATACATTTAACTAGGTAATACCTAATTCGTCTGTGTTGTGTGATGGTGTACTCGTAAAAGTGAGGGAATGTACGTGAGGGTGTGTATGTAGGGTGTGTTCATGATAATGATGATGTATGGATTAAAAATATCCGTAGCGCTAAATCGCCACATGTTCTCCTTTTAAGCATAATTCAAGTACTTATACGTAGATATTGGTTATTGGTTGCAAAACTGAGTTTGGATAGTTAGCCGGTTGCTTTTGGTTTACAATCATTCATATCTTTATTATATTCTATATCATTAGAAAAAAAAAACAAAACACGGAAATGTGCACCATAACACGCTTATACACTTTTAAACAAATCTATACATAGCAGTGATCTTTAAAACGACACCAGAAAGCCAAAAAGGTTTACGTTTTTTTTTATTTAGTACGACCCATTAAACTGTTTTGAATTCTTTTGTATCGAGCTTAATCAACCTGTCAAACAAATTAGTCTAATCCTAAAATTAATTAATAAATAAGCTAGAATTATCTTAGTATGTCTCCCAAATATCAAAATCATAATTACCGTAAACATGGAATAATCAACCTCATAAAATTTCAAGGTCTATTACTATTATCAAATTTGTTCAAATTGCTTTAATAAAATATCAATACAAGTATTAAGACGTATTTGTAGTAGGTTTTATATGTTTCCGTAGTGTGATTTAGAAGAATCCTACATATAATTAAAGAGACAAATACCAGTTCTATATTATATAGAGATGGATTAATGATCTTAGGGTCATTACGTAGGTCATACTAGTACTATTAATTCATAATTATAATAATTACTGGCGCACAAATTACTTTGAATAATTTTACTTGTGTTTAGAACAATTAAATTAAGATAATTCTGGAATTAAATTTTTGAAAAATATAAAAAAAATGTTAGTTATTTTTTTTGTTTTAATTTATAATTATTAAATTTATAATTTTTAGACGTGGTGATTTCCACCGCATGAGAGCAAGTTTTAAACATTAATTGCCCACATACAAAACTCCATTGGTGGTTCGAACTTATTACCTCTGAGAACGCCCATATCCCATAAAGTCCACACAGCTGTTATACAATATTTTTTTTAAAGGCAAGAACTTCGTTAATAAATTAAGAATATTTTATATGCTAGAATTATCAATTCCCATATAGGTATATTTATAACATTACCTTCTTAGAAAATATTTGAAAAACAGTAGTCACTCCACTTATCAAAACATAATTAATTTGATTTAATATCTTTGCCAGTCTTTGTTGAAAGACAATAGAATTCAATAATATTTCCACCACAATAAATGTATGATACACACTTGAGCTTAATATTATTAAAATAACACGACAAATAATGACTAGAATAGCCCGGAACCACACACCGAAGAATGATTTTTTTATCATAATGAGGTCATATATTATCAATATTTATTTATAAAATGAAAGTACCACGAGCGACTTCAGTAGGTACGTCTGATAGTCGCACAGCTGTGGAATATAATGTTATCTTAGTTCTAATATATTACATATTTTATCTATATATTAGATTATATATCTATAACAATATTAATATTCGAAATTCAAGGTTTTCATCATCTTAAGAATTTTAAGACTTAAAATTATCTACTGAACTTTTTGTTAAATAATTTAAACTTAAACGCTGATTGCTTAATAACTCGCCAAAATCGATAATATTACACCGTAATTTGAATTAAGAAATGAATGCTTTCGCATTGTGTGCAAGGGGTTTTTAAATTGCAGCAAGTAACCATTACATATTGTATTTGTATATAAGAAAACGACACGAGTACATAGCGATATATGTAAAGCTATCTTATCTGTCATAAAAGTATAAAACAATTAAATCTTCCAATTATTTGGAAGAAACAAATATTGCTTCCAGACGCTAACGAATGTGTGTACACAAAGGACACTTTATCTCAATAATGAAGTTGCGAAATTATTTATATCATTCAAACAACGTGCTGATAATTAATATAATTACATAATTAATTAAAGTGTTATACAGTAATAAATGGGTATCTGTCACGTATTTATCATTTTCTTATCCCTGTGCAGCCACCGTAGGCACATCTTTCAAAGAGAGTACAATAAAATTAAAAACACTTAAATTTCAACTTGCCAAGTCATAGAAGATAAAATAACATATATAACACAAAAAATTAACGGATTTTTCGAAAGTCGATTAAAGGCCCTTTAAAATACATTTACGACATTTTTAAGTTCGGTTTTTTCTTTTTCTAGATCAAGGCATTAAAAAAAGTATGGCGCTACAACTTCTAGGGGTAGACTTCAGATTTATGTATCTTTTTTGCGATCATTTTATTCTTCTTTATAAGTGAGGGGTCAGCTAGGGCATGCCGCTTTTCTTACGATGTTTCCCTTCACCGTACAAGCAAGTGTCAAAGAACCGTGATTTGAACGGATGACCTCAGGGTTGAGAGGCGCACGCTCAAGTCAAATACTGATCTAAGCATTTACATTCCGTTATTAAAGAACATAGGTACACATAGTTCTAAGTACAGCCGGTGTGGAAATTGCACAAATTACAACAGCGACGTCATTCGTCCCGTATTGCACCACGCGCTGTGCAAACATTTTACGGTGGTTCTACGCATTTCATAGAATATTTGTTTTGGTCTATTTACAAGATTTGTTACATACAACTTCCGCGGCACTCAAAATTTCCTATCACTGTTATTTCTACATGCTAAGAATGCTGTGTAAATTTACGCATTCGTAATTTATTTGTCCGAACAGTTTTAGTAACAATCTATTTATTTATTTATTTATTTATACTTTATTACCTTAATCAAAAACATACACTTAACAAAAATAAAAAAAACAGGTTAAAAAAGTTATAACGCAACGGGCGGCCTTATCGCTAACAAGCGATTTCTTCCAGGCAACCCTAAAGTGGAACAATGAAAAAGAAACACCTACAGATCTATTCTATTGATTTTGGTAGGTAAAAAACCATACTATGAATAATATTATATCATTTTTATATAATTTTTCGTGAACCTTCAATCTCTATTAGCGACGCAAAATGTCTTTTATTTACAACATAATTCAATATCATTAATATGCAATTCTCACAAAACTAATATTGTTTAACGAATCAAGGTATGCAAGTTTAATTAGTGGTAATGTTTAGTTTACGACATAAATACGAACGTAAAATCTAGTCTGTCTACATTCCTGGTACAAAACGTCACATAAATGTTATAGCAGTATGTCTTCATAGCAAAGCCTGGAAGTAAATTTTCGTCTAACTAGCAAGCTAGATCTGGTTTTCGCTGACACTGGAGACACTGGAAAACCTTTCATTTGTATTACAATATTTACAAATAAGTCAAATGTTAGCTTCAGGGCTTAGTAAGGCAGAGTAAAAAATTGGAAAGAAGCTTAGCTATACGCTTTATATGCCATCAGATAACTACATATTTAAAATTAATATAAGAATTGTCAAATATATATTTCAAATTACTTGCAAGTTTTTGCTTGATTCTATTTAGTCGACTAGTTTGTTTAAAATTAAATTTGCATTAAAAACTACATTTCAGTATTCAGTCAGTTTTGTCTGACTTAATAACCTTTATAACTATCCGAACAGCTGATTAAAATTAACCAAATCTAAGCAAATCCTATTTATAGTATTTTCTTATAGTACATTGTGCGACCACTATTTAAAAGGCGAAAAAGTAATTAATTGACCCAATAAAGATTTTAAAGTAAAAAATCTAGTTTCATTTTACCAAAAAAAATACTTCAAATGAGGGTTTATTGGTTTTGAAGTAAAAACTAAACTCCCTGAAATGATACAAGTCTTTATGATACAACAGTAATGTTCCGTGTTGAGCAACATTGTTAAAACCACGACATTAAACAACTTACGCAAAAATAGGTTTATTACATAATACTGTCAAAGTCGTAAAATTTAAGTTGTGTTTAACGACAAATATACATATGCAGTTATTTCTTTTAAGAATAAATACATAGTTCAGTTTAAAAGTTTCAAGCTCTAAACGAGGTACGAGCCATTCCTAATATTTTAGTTTCAATCTAAATAAATGTATAATCCTGATTAATAAACGCGTTAATTGAACAACGATTATACTGACGAACAAAATTATTACGGGTCTCAATATATTAAAAATATATTTCTCTTGTCAATACAGTGAAGTAGTATCCTATACTTATTTTAACCTCAAAGTACGTTATAAATATATCTGCACTTATTCGTGCATGTTTCACGTATATTAAAGTAATATCTTACACCACGATTTCCATAGTTTGAATCAATGATGATATTTTATAACCCAGATACAGTGGTTTTATAAGAGAGATTTATCAATAAAATCAGCGAAGCGTATTATTTCGTATGAGGTATAAGTTTCTTTATTAACTACTGAGTATTAAATAATAATTATTGAACCGAGGCCTTTACCCTAAAACGGGCCATACAAAAACCAGACTATTAAAAAGAAAAATAAATCTAACTTTAAATGTTTAAAACTTATACTAACTATACTGGAATTAAGGAATGTTGGCTAACCAATTGTTGTAGGGATTAATTAATAATAATTATCGAACCACTTCATTGCAAAACTTACAAAGTTTAAACAAGATGTATGTATTTTAAAAAGAGGTAATTTCGGGCTTCTTGGAATCTTAGTGCTACGCCCTGTGAACTATGTAATTTTGCTCTATAAATAAAAGACCCTTTTCAGGTCTAGGCCTCAGATTTATATAGCTATCTGCTTTGCAATCGTCTTTTTTCGAATAGGCAGATAGGTGATCACCCTTTTTTGCCTGACATACGCCGTCAAGTTTTGGCCTTAAGGCATGCTGGTGATTTTTATCAATACGAGCAAGAGACAAATGCATAGACATAAGACATAGACATAACATAGAAGGAAGGTCCATTGGTGCACAGCCAGGGTACGAGCCCACGACATCAGGGATGAACGCACGCTGAAGACACTAGGCCGACAATGCTCTCTGTTCATAAAGGTTATTTCAATGAAAACACTTATAGGATGAAACACAAAAGGTAATCTCTACCTGGTGTTTTTTAAGATCAGTAAATCTGGTAATTAATATCAAATCATTTATTTCTCATCACAAAGTCCTAAAATTTTTGAGTTAACATGCAATATTTAGCTTTTATCTACATATGTATGAAGGGTATTTTTTTCCTATCGACATTGTTAAGACTTAAAAAAATGTTATTTTATCTGGTACATTCTCAAGAACATATGGGCTGGAACATTCAATTGAGTGCAATACTTTGTGTTTGACCGAGCCCACTGCTGAGAGAGACTAAAAGTTTTTTTTATGTTATCATAATTCCGTATCACTTGAGCTTAAAGAAGACTAAACGAAGACTGCCGGAGCCCACGAACATAGGCTCCACCATCACGTGAATGTCGAGGCTATTCAACTCCTTGACACCACGGGCCTAGTGAGAAGATTGAAAAGGACAAAACCATTTGAACTAGTGAATTAGTCTTAGTGCATGTTAGTATTAAGTGCTAAACAGTGAGCGGAAAAATAGAATACAAGAACAGAGTGTCTTCCCTTTAATAGAGATTGTAAGTAGTGTTATTGGACACTTTCTTATGTTAAAAATCCTTTTTAATAAATTAGGTTAGACTTAAATTACTTATTAGTCTTAGTTAGGCTAGATCGTTATATTCCATGATGTCTTAGTGAAGACACATGTATAGAAAAAAAAATCTTAACGAAGTAAGAAACATTTTATATAAGTTAACAGTTTATTGGAATTTAAGTGTTGATTGAGGTATATCCAGAGCCCGCATTATACTTGACACGGTTTCTGTAGTACTTTCTATTTTACAATTATTGTGCTAGTCAGGTTTACTAACTGCGACGCTTTCTTCGACAATTTATTGTGAGATTGAAATGAGAAAATCTCTATAAACTGGTAACTCTTCTAACTATAAAACCAAACCAGTGACGCTATAACCTCTAGGCCCTTAATCTGTTTCATGATCATTTACTTTTATTTATAGTCGAGTAATACCTTTCTACCTTTACATGGCATTTCTTATAATCTTAGTAAAATGTTTTTTTTTATATTTAGATATAATAAATATAAAAATCTGAATACTTTAAAACTATTATTCAAGTTTAGTAGGTAGTTTCTTTAGTTGAAATAACTGGCTGTATTGTGCTCACAAGCTGCAATGAAAGCACATCATTTAAGACATAATATTAATACTTTATAAACACAATAACACAGAACATGAAAAAAGTCATACATGGACTTTATAACACAAAACAGGAAAAGGTCATAAATGAACGGTCTTACTGCTAAAACATTTTTTGCCAGACAATCCGGTACGGAAGAATGCATA